GAGTGATCATTGTTAGTTGGGCTACTACGATAGGGCATGGAGTGAACGACAGTTAGGTTCAAGCCGTTATTTAGTAATAAAAATATGACATTACATACTATCTAACGCAATGTCAAAAATTCCGTAGTGTCAAAAAGTTTTTACCCAATGTCACTTTTCCAAGTTACCTGATACCCGTGCCGGGCAAGCTAGCAAGCTGAAATGGCTTGATTCACGAATAATTTCAAAATAACAGTTGAACATTGTAGATAGCTTGAGGCTGGTTCTTATCTGAGCCTTGCACAGAGTGATCAGATTATGTGGAGAAAAGAACTTATTGGCCCTAAAAAAATAGCCTAACTTTTTCCCAGCAGCTACCGCTATTGGCGAGATCTGGACTCCGACCAGCCGAAGTGAACAGCTCTTTGCTGGAACTCGGCCATCTTTCGAAACCCGATAAGCATTAGGGCGCGTTTTATTATTTTATGTTGAAATATAACATCCATGCATCCGTGCATTTCACCAGTTCGAATTTCAGCTCGCTATCTTGATCCGTGAAAAGAATACTTTGGGGGCCTTCTGAAAAGCACTGTATATATTTGAAAGAAAAACTTCTTAAAAAGGAAATTAATAGTGGGAGACATCTATATGGTCACTTTTTTACATGATATATCGACGTGTACGAGAAAATCCTGAAAAGTTATTTAATTACTCTCAAATGTCAATAAACTCATTTTATGAACTGGTGCTCACAGTCGAAGATATGCTATCAAGCATAGTTTATCTACACAAGAGTTGGAGGGAATGAAAATGCCTTCCAAACTGGAATTTCAATGTGGAATTTACTGCAGCTGAACAGCTAGTCACAAGAGGCCATTGTCGTCAGAAATTGTAACAATTGCTGAAACTGTTTAGCATCTTTGAACACAATTTTCAATCTTAATCACTAAAAAGGTTTTTCTGGATATTATTTTAGAGCATTTTAGGCTGTGACTCTAAAAGTGATACCTCATATTACTCATCCATTTTTCCTAGAATACACCGATCAACGGAAAAGGAGTATCCTATTTAACATCCACATGAGTAGAATTCGCATTCCGAACAGCCGATTACAGAATCGCTGTATAAATATGTACATATGTATAACAATGTATGGTATATGCGCAACACATTTGTTGCTGCTTCAACTAATTATTTGCAACTCGCCTTGCCAAATATAAGAAACCGCTAACGTGTAACGCATATTTTTTTTAAATCCTCCATAATTCTCAATATAAATGTTAAATATAGAAAATGAAGAAAAAGAGACCTTCCTAGAACAATTGGGATATCTGAATTACTATGAAAAAATGAGCACTCGAAATGTATTTGAAATCATCCCTAGTTAATTAAATAGGTATATAGATAGCATTTTTTTGTATTTCGTTGCAACTGTTGCATTTTTCGTCAATATGTAGTTTGAATACCGAGAGCTTTGCAAATTTTCAGGATCTAAATTACACACAGTTTAGAAGTTCTAGGTCTTCTTAAGCTCTAGAAATTTTGAGAAATTTGGAATCCTCTACAATATCGTTAGAGTGAGAATAAGTCATTTGAAAGAAGGAAATCAAGATTTTAACTAAGATTTTCGCAAAACATATAGAATGAATCCAAAAACGAAGTAAATAGCTCTAATGTAAAGACACCTGTATAGGTACAAATATAATGAGCATAACGAACGCTGTGATACTAGGTATATCCGGATTTTCTGTAAATCGCCCAGACAGACGAATAACGATGTCGAATGCAGATCTTTTGATCTTTTATAAAGAAAAGATTAGGATTTTACTTCATTTATTGAAATAATAGGGAAACTTTCTTTAAGAGGATTGGTCCGACGGGAATACATCAAAAAAGACCAAGGCCAAATAAAACATAATGTTTAAGTGAACTGCATGTCCGTGAATATTTTTTTTTCGATTCTCGCAAAATACAGCTTCACTACCCGGTATTTCCTTAGGAGGCATGTAAATGCCAATCTCCAAAGGGCGTCCCAATATTCCGTGAATATAGAAGTACTACGTATTTTTAGGATTAAAATAAGCCGATTGGAGATGATTTATTTCTATGCAAAAGTGCTTAGCTTGTCCGATAGAGGGGGTCAAGATTTTCTTTTTAAACACACATTTTTTAAGATATTTTAAGAACCGATAGTCCGATCTGAATGCAATTTGGAATTCATGTATTCTGCTAGACGTTCTAAAATTTGGTTTATATGAAAAACTCTTAATGGTTCTAGAAGGGTGAAAACTACCCCAAACCCTACATAAAGAATAGTAAAATTTTTTGGCAACTTTTCCGCCGACCCTGATTTGTTTTTTATTTAACAAATCTTTTTATTGACTTCATTTTTTGTCTCGTACAAAAATAAGCCATCTCGGATAGTTTTCGAGAAACAAAAAATGAGTTGCATCAAGAGGTCCATGAACGTCTTATTAATTTTTTAAATGTAGTTATCGAAAATAAAAGTTTGATATTATAGACTTTTATTTAATTCAGGCAATAGTGCGAATCTTCCATAAAAGGGGTTCGATATAACCACTATTTTCGATCCTGCACATAACAATCCAAAATATTTTAACACTTGACGTAATAATTTTTTTTAGAAACCAGAGTCAAAAAATATTTTAGAACCCCAAGATCTATGTTAAACGGATCAGGCTAACCAGCAAAAAATGGTCTCTGTTGTAGAAAAGATGTGTAGACACATTTTACAATTAAATAATTATTCCTACTCGTAACTGTAAGTAAAAACCTGTTACGTCTCGAGTTACAAAAAAGTTGATGGTTACTTTTTTACTAAACGTCAAGGATCACTTAAAACCAAAAAAAATGAGTTGCAGTTATATGGTTTCAGAAACTGTTGAGCATTTTTATGCATTTTTTAGATGTTGAGGCCGTCTGTCATGATACGAAATTTAAAAAAAATACTCTAACCACACTGTTGCTTGCGGTTTTGTATGTTTTATCCTGCCAGTGCTATGTATAGCTTAACTCAAATCCATACCCGTTTTTCAAATGACTGCCATCTCTAGTGCATGGCCACTCTCCAGAAAAAAAGCGCTGTTTGCCTCTGTTCACTTTTAGTATCAAATTATTAAATTTGTTCATGCAAAATGATGCACTAGATGCTATCTACAACTGTCCTTAACTTTTTTTCGAATGCATAATTCAGCATTACATTTGCTATCATGACAAACGGCATTACAGATTCCCTTAGATTACTAGAAAGGCTTTAAGCTACCCAATGTTTTTCGTTATGTCTATTTGGTGAAAAATAAATTCGGGACAAGCGATTTTTTTTTAATAAAAATGCGTCAATACAAGTTTTTTTGCACTGGAATTCTAAATATCTTAGTCGATGAGCTCAAAGTCCCAATTTGAGTGGCCCCTATGCGAAGGTCGGTCAAAACCCACAGCGTCGCGACGCCCTCGCGTCGGCGCTAAGTTTTCGCAACACGTGCATGGAAAATTACTACCTACCTCTTAAAATAAGTTTATCAAAACCAACAATTAAAAAATATGTCAATTAAAACTAGGTTGCCAGACGCACATTGACAATTATGTACCATTTCAGCAAATTAATAGTGTTTAGATTAATTCCCAGAAAATTAGACATAAGTGCTAACCTCCAATCGTTTGCGTTTCTCTAAGACAGGTCTCAAATAAATATTAATTAAAAGCAACAATAGCTAAACTAATCATGCGGATGACAAACAGTGTTCAAAAACTGATTGTTATTAAATAACAAAACAAAATGTCCACACTTACATGCAGAACAGCGTCATCTTGCCAATTACTTTCACACAATAACTGAGCCTAGGTCAACGACTGCATATAAACCATTATAAACAAGGTTGACTCACTCTGGTTTTGCGCATTTCCAGACCGCATGTGCAACTACTGGCTTACAGATGGCGCGAACTTCTGATTAGGCCAAGACTTTTATACACTTTAGCCAAATAATTCGCACAGATAGCGCGGTGCTCATGGTGAAAATACCAAATCGATAAAGAAATTCGTAACAAGAAAACTATGTGACGATAAGATCTTATGAGTATAGGTATTATTTTAAACTATTTTCAAGCTGTTGATTACCAAGACTTTGTAGGAGGGATTAAAGTTCTAAAATATTAGAATATTAGAAGTTTGACAAGCGTTCTGCTAACAGACGAGATAACATTTCCTAAACTCGCCACTTGTAGATAAAAAGAAAACAGCAGAAATCGTAACATTTGAAAATAGAAGTATTTCATCTTGTACATCAAAACCTGGTTGGAGATACGGAGTCAATCTACTTGACACTATTTTTTTCTGTACAATTTCCTTTAGTCACCGTCTCCGTGCAGACATACGATGTATCCCCTCTTGTTCCTAGATGTCGCCACAAAACAGGGTAAGGAAATCAATAAAGGACATTGTACCCTACATTGCTACAAGGTCAGAAAAATAATGTTTTGAAACTGAAACAAATTATTGAGCTCAAGCAGGTTTAGTTAAAGCACTCATTTCATAAGGAGTACACGTATTACATAGAAGTGATTACGTTGTTTCCGCTAAAAAAGAAAAATTGTTCAAGGTTTTTTTCAGACTATATAAGTACTTAAAAATTCAATCTTTTCCCCAATATATGCTATTTGTACCACAAAATGAACTTGTATGTTATTTATCTCTAATAGTACAAATATGTTCCAAATATGTCCCGGAACGACCCCGTGCGACCTATGAGACGTTCCCGGTAGGTCGCCTAATATCGAAAACCGTTCCAGAGATGTCCCTTGCGATACGTGATCTCTCTTACTAAGTATTAGTCAATTGAAAAGATGAACCAGAAAGACAAGGACACATTAAATTTTTTCTTATGATGGCAAATCATTATGTAGACCCTACCTCTGTAAAACAACTCATAAAAAATATACGACGCCTAACAACATTGGTCACTCAAACTACACATACATCATATATCAATAAAATTCTTAGAAATGTATAGTATATCTTATTGCAGTATATGTACTAGGAATGTATACTTGAATTCAGCTGCCAAAATAAAGTATTTTGTACCATTATATACCTACAACAATAGAATTTTAACCGTATTGATCGATATCGTGACTGTATTCAATTACCTGGAAAGAACTTGTAAAATAGTAAGACTGCACGTCCCCGAATCAACTAACCAGGACCTAGATCGGACGTTCCAGGAACCAAGTGTGGTAATAGGGATTAGACTAAAGGTGCGTTAATGCCACTCTTAATAGTAATTTATGTACCTAGAGCGTTAATCTGTAGATTAAATTAGAACCTAACATAAACGCCTGAGATGCATGCAGTTTGATTTACAACAGACTAAAATAAAAAAGTTAGTGCAGATCGAAACAAAAAAAATTAACCTGATTATGATACCTGCGGCGTCCCCTAACAATGAATAAACATGAGCCGCACTGTGCTCAGCATATCTTAAGACTAACTTCAGATAGCGCATCCGACGCGCGTTCGCTTGATGCTTGCTTTGAAAATACACAGCATCCGTACCAGCTATGCACATGGAAGCGCACACTGCCCAGCCAACCACGTCACAGCTGTGTGCGACATTTTGTCGTTATTATTATTATATTTTTTTGACATTCAGAGGAGCGTAGGTTTTTCTACCAAATATCAACTTAACACTAGCTGTTGTATACTTGTGAATTCGTTTTGTAGCTGTACGTGTTGCCTAAATATCATTATGCTTCAGTTAACAGTGTTTAGCACTGAAGTGATGTATCATCTGCTTCAGAGATGGCATTATTGGAGGACTAAGCTGTGAGTGATATGCTATAAGGTAAAGCCGGGTAATAAGGCCGTGTTAGTGTAAAATATTTTATTTTAACATAAAATGAACACTTATGCATTTCTCAACACTTGCTTATTACACAAAATAAAACTTATTATACAAATATTTAAATACATTTTTTTAATAACAAAAAACTGAGTACCTGCATATTGGCCTTATTACCAGACCCGGCAGGTATTAAGGCCATCACAGTAAAATGAGGGCTTTTTAATAAGACCGGATACTTAGGGCATACATTGGGGGCAAATAAAATCCTCTGTGTCTTAGATGGTTAGCCCAACACATTCTTCATGCACCCATGTCCCACAGGATGTACAAACTCTCGTATCACCGAAGTGGTCATGGTTGCAAACTGTACATATCCAACTTTCTTGTGATTCAGCACAGCTGGTACTTGGAACACTAAAGGACTTTCTTGCAGTTTGCCTTTTTTTTGGGAATTGTGTTCCTCAAACACTTGCCTCCTTACCTCTTGGGCGCGATATTTGAACGCCTTTTTATGTGTTGATACCGTTTTAGATTTCATATCTGGTGTGATAAGAACCTCAGAAAAAGAGTTCTCTTGTGGGGTTTTCTTCACAAAATTAGACAAGGGAATAAGATCTTCTGGATCCCATTCAGTGTATCCTACTCTAATTTCTATTCCTTGTTCTGTGGAACGCTTGTCTATTTCACGAGTCATCGAAAGGTCATTGCTTCCACCCTCCCGACGATTGCTTGGAAGACTTGGTGCAAACAGGTGTTCGGGAGTGGCATGTTTATTAAAGGGACATATCCCAGTCGCCCTGAAGCCACTACAGATATTGCTCATCGTCATACCTTTTTCCCACACGGGTTTAAAAACATCTGAAAATCGCTCTTTATTTAGTATTCTATTGGGATGTTGATACCAGTAATTAAGCAATTCTTGATCCCACTGAGATTCAAACGGGCGAATAACAGACACGTCCAGGGGTTGGAGCTGGTGTGTGGTATTGGAAGGAAGACAAAAGAGCTGTATGCCTAAGGACTCTTCTTTGTCCCCAATGGATACATCTACAGGTAAGTGACTCGATGCACCGTCGAATATTAGAATCGTGGGAGGGGCAGACATAAATTTGGCGAAGTCCAACCACGTTAAAAATCTGCCAGTCGTCATGCTACCTTTGGGTGTCTTGCAAACCTCTGACCTGGCAGGCAATCCATCAGCATATGTAGGTTTCTGTCGCTGACCTTTAAAAAGTATCATTGGGGGCACCGCTTGACCAAGGGCATTCGCACAAGCCACAATGGTAACATTATCTCCATGTTCTGGCGCGACTGGGTGTACCCTTCTTGATCCTTTCTCCACTAGCATACGTTGTTGGTGATGCAGGGTCAGTCTACATCCCATCTCGTCCGTGTTGTAGAGGTTTTCAGGTCGGTGTTTTAAACCCGTTCTATCCAAAATACTACCCAATTTAGTAAAGTAATCATCGACAATGTAGCGGTTCAATTTTTTTTAGCACGCGCGGGATTCAGTTGCTGAGTTCTGCGTTGTGATGTTGGGATGGCGCTTTAAAAAGGAACGATACCATTCCTTGCCTGCCAACTGCGTTACTTTATTAAATTTATGTGGAACACCAAGTGTTTCACAAAATTTGCAAACGCTACGACGCAGACTTTTTGACATGAGAGGCAAACCTTTCTCAGCAAATCGAATGATTTGAACCGCCAAATCGTTTTCTTGTTGTGTGCTTAAAAGGGGTTTTGCACCTAAAGAAGTTTTTGATAAACCGGATTTCAAGTGGTTTCTTAGCGAGGAATGCCACAACGTCCTGCTACCGTTTCTTGCGAATTCCCATCTCTTAACAACTGTAAAGCTTCTGCCACTGAGCCCTAATGTCTCGATTTTTCTTCCCTATATCTGCGAAATCAGAAGTATCTAATTTTATACATTATTTTATAGCCTTACTATCTGTCCTACTAATAGCAAATTATTAGCAAACTGTTAGTAGAGCAGGCAATAAGGCCGCGGCCTTATTACCTGGACAATGTATTTGAAATATTTTACGTTATGAATCTTCTATTAATGCGCAAATAAAATACATTTATCTATTAAACATTTTGTTAATATCCATAAAACACAAGCAAACAGACGGTAATAAATATGCACTTGTTTTTCTGTAAATATAGCCTACCTTTTGCCTACGATTCTTATAACCTTAGGAAAATCACTCCCATAAGACACTCAACGAAAAACACAGAGCTTCTGGTGGGCCGGACCAGCCGTTAACTGAATTCAATGAGCTGAGATTCACATACCTGTTAACAAATGGCACTGTATGTACCATCAGTATTTAATTTATTTTACTTTTGATAGGGTTTCGGCCTTATTACCTGTCCGGCCTTATTACCCGACGGTACCTTATAGCTGGAAGGAAGCGACAGTGCATAGGTGCCTTTGTAACTTGGGCCTTGAGTAACCAGAAGGGTCTACCGACGTTCAGGCAACCAGAATTACGCGACCATGTATGTAGCGTGGTCGCATTTTAGTGTGTTCGCGATGTCATCACGAACATTCGATATCTAAAGATGCCATCAAGACGCCTTCCACGAAGATATATTTCGATCGAGTAGATCAGACCAGATGACGGAAGCAGTCAGCAGTCGAGACAGTCAATGACGCGGAAGCTCTAGTTCAGTCGGTGTGGTTATAAATTTGTCTAAAATTAGTTGCAGAGGTGTTATAAAATAGTGTTAAAGGAATAAATTAGACTTTAAACAGTAAAACAATGTTTTGGTTAGAATATTTTTATTTACAAATCACAGGACTCACTACTAACAAACTATGTAAATTAACATGTAGTTTGACACTAGGTAAATATTGGGTGTATTCTTCCAGACTGACTAACGTAGTAGTGATACTGTTCGAAATATTAAAAATTGTATCGCTTTCTAAATACAATCAGTGCGAAAGAATAGACATTAGTCAGATACTATTATAGTTCTGAGAACCACAAATACTGAATGGTTAAACGTTAACGATAAAACTCTCTACCATTATAATTTCATTAGATCAACTAAAGAATTGTTCCTCAAATTGTTTTATTCAGTTTAGACAAAGATGAGGGAACGAAACGTAGCACTACCTAGAGATGAGTCATCAAATTGACCACTTCACTGATCTGTTCTGTGATGTGAATTCCGCGAGTATTTATCTGTAAACTTTTATATATGCATGCTTGTTGTAAATGTAAAACCATGTTATTTCTGTAGGTAAGACTTTATTACGTTTAGTTTGTCAAGATTTTTCTATTTACTTTTGAGAAAGACAAAAGAACGAAGCGAAAAACTTTGTAGAATGTATTCGATCACATATTGTCAATTTCACCAGCACAATGAGAACGAAAAAATAGAGTAGTAAGGTAATTGAACAAACATCATACCTTGTATGAGAAGGTAATTATCAACGTTACACATCATAAAAGCACTGGATCAGTAGCAGCTCACTTTTCAAGCTACTTAGCTATGAAATGTACTGTTCCACAGATCGCAATGGTCAATATCGATCAGGCAATCGAGATGCCATAGACAGCCATTAGACATTAGACGTTTCTTATAAACCTGTTGGCTTTAAATAACAGATAGTTCAAGTCAGGTACGTAGAAATTACAAAATAGCATATACGAAAGAAGACAACAGAAAATTGACAAATAACACGAAAGTATAAACAATAAAATAAACATCACAGGGGTTACATGCCCACCAGAGCGATTTAGTAAAATCAATAAATAGATGGATTGTATAAGGAGTGCACTGCAGCGGTGCTCTCAACTGATGCCTAAAGTTTCTGTAACTTTTCATGTAGCAAATATATACTGAAAGGTAGGTATGATTGCACTTTTCTGCGCATATTTCATTTCTATTTCTAGTTTCATAAGTACGGTTTAAGCTATTGATGCGGTATTTTTCTCTATTGCCATATATGTGGGATAATAGTTTGTAAAGACATATTGCTGTTACAGTGAAGATGTTGTTTCCAAACACATCTCGACAGGCGTTATAATTAAGACTGAATATGAACCTTAGTATTCTTTGTTGTGTAAATGAGCTTGATTACTCTGCTGACAGCCCTCATACCACAGTTTTATACATACAAAAGCATAGTACACCGTTAATAGGAGCTTTATTTAATTATTTAGAGATTCCTCAATTTCTTGATCCCATGTAAGGTCACTGTCGAAGGTAGCTCCTAGAAAAACGGCACTTGGCTCTCCCCACATTTGTATTTCGTATTGAAATCGATATAATTCAAGCAATTATCTGAATCGAATTATATACATAATAATTGTCCATTGTCACAATGGGGAAAAAGAGCTATATGCCTTATTTGAGAAGGCTTAATCCTCAAGCTATGTGATTTAGATCAATATTAATCAGGCAGTCGTATGGCATCCTATAAGTAATCTATGTTTCTTAACTAAAGCTAATTCGCTAAATACGCAAAGGCTGTATCGTGTCACAGCAGTGAATAAAATCTACATAACCCGCTGAGAAGGCGATTATCGGTCTTGCATATAATGCTCGGTCAATAATGAAAAAATATGAATACCTCCTTGGAGAAGGTGATTATTGGGTCAATAACTGAAAACTTCTCAAGCTAAGCATGTATTCTGCAAGCTCGCAATTATGAAATTTCCTATTCTTTGAATCACACTTGAAATGACAGTCTAGGCAAAATGAAGTACAGGACAGAAAACATTTTTGAATACCTATCTTGACAATAGAAGTTATGTCACCGAGAAGTTTCTCATTGGGAGAATTACCTTGTTGGAGCGTTAGACTGAGTGATGACGTCACATGAGACCAGCTACCTTTGCTACCACAAAGCGATGCTCCCACCGTGCACGCTCCGCGCCATTTACAAACGTTGCTCTGCTCGTTATTTACGATTTACGGTGAAAATGGGTAAAAAGACATTCAATTTAAAAATGTTGTGCTCAACCTAAGTGTATAAGTACAGTCTGGCCAGCTCCAGAAGAACATGTTTATCTGTTGCAAAAGGTAGAAGAATTATAAATGTTTTCGGATAGTATATTTAACCATTAACCAACAGAAAACCTTCTTCCATTTAATTGATTGTATATCTATATCTCGTGATACAGTGGGCCAAGAAATAAACAATATATTGCGACTGGTCAACTTGAACGCTAAGGATGAATGCGATATGCAAAAAGCTAAACTTATGCATGTGACGTCACTGTCGCGGCAGAAAATGCTACACGTAAACTCCGTAAAGTTCAAATTATTCGAATAATTATTATAGATTTGTGAAAGATACCAGCTATACCATTATATACAAGTGTCTTGAAATCAATATCAATCACTCTCTGGGTGCAAAGGCTCCGAAATGCCCGAAGACGTAATTTACAGTAGGGCCCCAGATTTTGCTCTGCGGTATGGCTCCTCAACTGCATTGACTATACTCTAATGAACTCGGGGTAAGTATTATAAGCTGACGTGTCATCAAATCTAAACTCCATCTAAAGACCCAAATTTGGTGTTGTTGAAATTTGACCTGTTTCTTATCAGCGAATTATTTTATTTTTCTCTTCAAACTACCAATACCAATAAACGTTGGATTGATTGAAGAACTGGACGGGGTCGTATTCAGAAACGTCTTGGGGTGATTGAATGATACAGACACCTCGTCCATCACAGTTCCTATTACTTAGTAAAACGACTTCATAATTGTTGAATATAGCATCAAGCTTTAAACAACATTAAATTGTATTTAATGTACGTTGCGGCTATATATTGATAGTATGCATAATCTGACTGTATGTTGTTGAGAGATTCCTACTGAAATTATGTGTTCTGTAACCGACATATTGTAGCCGTTGACAAAATAAATTACGTTCGTACTGATGCTCATGCTGATAAGGTGTTTTACTTCCAATAATAATCACGACTAAAATGCATCAGTTTGTTAATTTTGCAAAAATGTTTGCTTTGGATTGCGCCTGTGAGTGCAAGTTTGTGCTGGTAGAGGACTGATCTATCAATACCGAATGCACCTGTTGCTTAAAAATTGCGTGAATGTGTTTGCTCTGTGTGTTTCTACCTTGGATTTGGAATGCTAAATGCCGACTGGCTGACCAACAAAAATCATGACGCCCTTGTACTTTTTAGACTGACTTCGTTTCCTCTGGTTAAGTTTGAGAGATACCTCGACAACTGACCAAGAACAGTTGGTTTAAGACTCATGGATATGACGTCTAAATAAGCAGATAACTATAAAATGGCTGTATAACATAGGCGAATATTGTACCTGACCTTTTCTTTCATGCCGGCTGATGCTGGACTTGGTATACCGACAATGAATATGTAGCTAGAGCCTTTTTAGAGAAAAGTGTCACAAGTACACGGTCCTGTCCATTTTCGTACCGTTGCTGCCAATTTGCACCTCAGATGAATGATTTTTAAATATAAGTGTGCACCTATCTGTCTACACTAGTCTATAGCTAACACTTTTCTTGCGATTCAATATTATAAATTGGTCTAATTGGACTGCAGTTTACAAACTAGTCGTATTGGAATTATTTATGTTAGGATATTAGTGCACTATCAGCTATGGAACTTTGTTGACAAGCAGTTTTGACGCCAGACATCCAAATAAATCAGCCTACCGCTGCTCATTGCTTCAATCTGAGGAAACTTTATTTCATGTTTCGAAGGCGTAGGAAGAATAAACTCAATCTACTTCACGCATTTCTTTCGGGACAAATTTCATATAAGTGATACTTTGGTACGATCGTACTATTTCGTGCCAGAATATTAGTCCAACCTCTCTAAGCTTATAATATATTTGAACTGGTGAACAGTACCTCCTCATTTGCCAATGCAAATGGCGAAAATGCGCTATTACAAGAGCATGTCTTTGCCTATGACCAAGTGCCAGAATGGAAGAGAGCGTAGCACAACGCAGGCAACTGCAAGACTCTGTGTGCCTTTGGTGAGGTCTGTGCACCTGTAAATTTTTTTAGCAGTTGCATCCCTGCTCCCTTCGATTTTGGAACGATGTTCGTGTGAAAACTTCCCGCCTCGGATTTATCGAAAACCACTGATTTAAAGAAAAAACGCCGAGACACGTCAAAAGATTTGTCAAGGGGGACAACTTTTCAACCAAAAACTACTTCACCCTGTTTCACTCTCCCAGGGTAATTCCCTTAAAATTTTTAAATGTCAGTAATAGTAATAGCTTGTTTAAAGGGACTTTCAAAGTTCTTTTATTTTGACGTTTGATTTTTTAAAATGGGTCGATTCGTTTTCAAGACTCGATACCCCATGTCATTCAAAATTTTTAAGGGAAAGACTCTGGGGGGGAAGGGAGGGGGCGAGGGTGAAAGGGGATGAAGTAGTTTTTTATTGAAAGGTTGTTCCCCTTGACAAATCTTTTGACGTGTCTTGGCGCTTTTTCATTTAATCAGTGGTTTCCGATGAATCCGTGGTGCTAGGTTTTCAAATGAACATCCTGTACATATGTATATGTGTTGAACACGCTCAATGTTAGTCACGTTCATCGGTCGACCTGTCGGTGTTCTTATAACCGCTAAATCTCAGAAATAGCTGCGCTGATTTTGTAGGATCAGTCAAAAACAGCATATTGGCTACAGAGTATTTGCAAAAACAGAAAAAGTAGTGCGTCCTGCTAAGCATTGTGCTTGGAATTAAAAATTAAAAAAACGCATATTATCTTTTTGCACCTTTTTCAACGACATGACCATATCAGCTAGTATTTTTTATCGCTTGGGCTGCTATCGGTACAGCTTATTCTCATCTGCGCACCTTGTCGTTATGGCACTCCTTACCAATGGTGCGGCTACTTTGCATTTCTTAGTGATGATCTCTATGATATCATCGACTATTTCTGGATCCAATCTGAAACAGATTTTAGACTTTAGCTCGCCTTGTTTTTGAAGTATTGAAAACTGAATTTCCTTACATTTCTGAGATACCATTTGTTTTTAAAATATGCTATATACCAGAAAATATCTTACCTGATACTCTCTAACTATTGCCTTGAATAACTGTGTGTCTTGGAACGCGTCTGCATGAATCGTCGGATTACTGTCAAAACAAAGCAACTACCTTTTTGTCATTTTTATTCCTTATCTAAAACTGCACCAAAAATGCACACCCGTAAGACCTTGCTGCCGAATGAGCGTAAACAACCAGAGCATTACAATCTATTTTTCGAAACAGCTGGACTGCCGTCCTTATCGCTTGGGCTGCTATCGGAGCTAGAATTTTTCTGTACCCTCTTCCGGTACAGCTTGTTCTCATCTGCGCACTTTGTCGTTATGGCACTCCTTACCAATGTTGCGGGTACACTGCATTTCTTAATGACGATCTCTACGATATCGTCGACTATTTCTGGATCCAATCTGAAACAGATTTTAGATTTTAGCTTGCCTTGTCTTTGAAGTATTGAAAATTGTATTTCCTTACAACAGTTCTGAGATGCTTTTTGTTTGTAAAATACGATATATACCAGAAAATATCTTCCTTGATTCCCATGCTCTTTAACTATTGCCTTGAATAGCTGAGTGTCTTGAAACGCCTTTGCACGAATCGTCGGGTTACTGTCAAAACAAGATAAGTACGTTCTTGTCATTTTTGTTGCTTATCCAAATTGTATAATCTGTGTTCTGGCAAAACCAGATATTTTCATAATAAGAGAAATAGAGTTTGTGCGCGTATGCCACAAATACGTTAAATGCAACATGACGCCGTTAAAGACAGCTAAAACAAGACATGTGCACTTGCGATTAATAACATTGCTAATTTTCCAACAAATGACTCATAATGCACTTATCTCATTTTAGCACTTTTGTTCTAGTGCTGAAATGAGAATTTTAGAGTCAGAATAAGATAAGGACATGTTGGGTTTTTGTTGTACCGGTGTGAATCGAAATCAGGGGTCGTTCCAGAGATGTATGGTCGTAACTGACCCCTTCTAAGTCACCATTTTGCTACGACGCGTAGACAAAGCTAAATGGAGAGAGAAGTAGTTGAGAAGTTGGCGCCTGTGTATACAAATACATCAATTCTTCTTTAAAAATATTTCATGCTATCGGGGTTGTAAGTGATATACTGAAGTTACGTCTCTCACTACTGGATGACGAAGTTGCGGTACGACACCGTGAGGTCCCTTTTCTCCCATTTAACTTCATCAAAAATGCATACCTGTGAGAGATTTCTGCCGAATGAGTGCGCATGTGCCGGGTAAGAGAGCCTAAACAACCAGAGCGTTACAATCTATTCTTCGTAACAGCCGGCTTGCCGTCCTTATCGCTTTGGCTGCTATCGGAGCTAGAATTTTTTTGCACCCTCTTCCGGTACAGCTTATTTTCATCTGCGCACTTTGTCGTTATGGCACTCCTTACCAATGGTGCGGGTACTTTGCATTTCTTAGTGACGATCTCTACGATATCGTCGACTATTTCTGGATCTAATCTGAAACAGATTTTAGGTTTTAGCTCGCCTTGTTTTTGAAGTATTGAAAACTGTATTTCCTTACAACATTTCTGAGATGCTTTTTGTTCTTAAAATATGCTACATACCGGAAAATATCTTCCCTGATTCCCATACTCTTTAAGTATTGCCTTGAATAACTGAATGTCTTGGAACCCGTCTGCACGAATCGTCGGGTTACTGTCAAAATAAAATAACCACCTTTTTGTCATTTTTGTTCCTTATCTAAAATTGTATAATCTGGCTTTTGAAAAAACCAGGTATATATATTAACAGGAATAGAGTTGTACGCGTGTGCCATAAATACTTTAAATGCAACATGACGCCGTTAACGACATGTGCACTTGCGATTAATAACATTGCTAGTTTTCTAACAAATAGATCATACTGCACTTATCTCATTTTGGCAGTTTTGTCTTAGTGCTGATATGAAAATTTTAGAGTCAGACTAAGATAAGCACCACATGTTGGGTTCTTGTTGTTCCGGTGTCAATCGAAATCAGGGGTTGTTCCAGATGTATGGTCGTAACTGCCCCCTCCCAAGTCAGCATTTTGCTACGGGTAGACAAAGCTATAGAATTACATCAATCAGCTATCTTCTGATGTCACCAAAATTTCGTTGTTGTCTGACACGTGTAGTGTTCAAAATCGCAATCAAAATACTAGTACTCTTCTGCTGTACATGGTCCAAATTAATCCAGATAATCAAGTAATAGCGCAAAAGCTTTTGGAAACTGGGCACAGCAGATATGGAAGTCGCACAGTGCAATTGAAAAGGCGCAGAGGTTTGTTCCTGTTTATACAATCCAGGGCTGATTGAAAATTTTTCGCATGGCCAGAACGTCTAGATGAAAAACCGTATAACGTTAAAGTATAAAGGTTTTCTAAACTTAGAAAAATTATCAAAAACTCTAATCAAAGCTAAATTGAGGAATACCTCGGACGAAAAGTTTTATTGGCTTAAAATCAAGTAGACTAAATCCAAGCCTTGGATATTAGAGTATAGGTACGATCATACATCCGATTATATGGAAATAAATTTTGGGTAAAGGAGCCAATCCAAGCCAAATTGTAATAACAGATGCTTCTAGAAAAATTAAGCCAAAATCAATAAAGAAAAAGCACGATTTGCTTAAGCTTTGTAAAAGTGTAATTCCTAAGGAATACCATTATTATTATTACAAATCACATCCGACATCCAAAGAAGCAAAGGATCTTATTCCCGGGCCAGCAGCAGACGATTCTGATCCCGGGGAAGAACCTGCTTTGCTTAGACTTCCGTTAGAATTTAATTTGTGAATAAAAAAGTATTTAGTTTCTCTGTTTGATTTTTAATCAAACAACAAGGTTCCAAATCCTCATATTTCAGAAGTACAAAAGTGTAGGTCATCTGGTTTTACCTTCTGGGCGCAAAGGGCACGTGCTCAGGGCTTCGGCTTGTTGGCAGGCGCCGACATGTCCAAAGAACAAAAGAAATTTGAAGTAGGGTTCTGTCCTGTATCCCCTCAACTGTTTTGACTCTGCTGAACACAGGGTCGGTATTGTAAGCTGACGTCATAAAATCTAAACCCCATCCAATTCGGTGTTGTTGAAATTTGCCCCGTTTTTTATTTGCCCCTCATTTTATTTTCGTACTATAACCTAATTTATGCGAATACACGTCGGATTGATTGAGAAACGGGACAGGGTCATATTCAGAAACCTTGGGGTGACTAAAAGATACAAACATCTTGTCCATTACAGATGCTCCTATTTAGTGAGACGATTCAAATGCATTCGTTTGTCAGTTAAGAAACATGCAGCAGAAATGCTTCTGATTGCAACTTTATGCTGGTAACTGGCCAGCTTCCTGCCTCTCTAGTTCAGCCACCCCTTGGGCGCCAGCCTCCTGTTTAAAGTGTGGAGGCAACACTATAGACTGAAACAATCAGGCTGGGCAACTTCAGTGAAGAAAATAATTCAGGGATTTGATACCTTACGCTCAAAGGGTCAGATACGAGATACTTACTCTTTACTTTCTACTTCTTCTTTTGTATATCTTTCTTCAGGCAGGACGGTATTTGTGATTAAAAGCAAGACATATAACGCAAACTGGTATATTAGCAGCAAATATATACACTTCATCCACAGTCGGGATATCTCAAGTTATACTATATGTACAAATGAGATGAATCTCTATATGAATCTAGCTACCCTACCGGTAGAGAGGGGAAGGAGGACAATCGGTTGGCTCGAGGTCGAACGGAATCAAAAGCGGTTAAAAAGCAACAGTTAAAGCGGAAGCAGTATGCGGTCAAGCTAGCAAGCGATAGTGGTGCGATGCGATATGCCCAAAGCGATGATCGGTGGATACGTTCGGGTGAAGAATAAGGCCAGGCGTTTATTTTACCCGCGTCTGCTTCAAGCTCTGTTTCTCTCGTTCTCGCATGGATTTCAATCTGCACCCCAGAGAAGTAACCACACTGTAGGCAAGGATGTGCCTCCCTGACTTGCTTCTTGAACCCCAATGTGTTTACCAAATCATTAAAAAAATAATATCAGAGACGCAGCATTCTGTGACACAATGACTCACCCTATTAACACTTTTGTATATCTGGGACTGTTCTGGGATATAATGATCACAATTATATATATGTACGTATCTACCTGAAGTTCTGGAACGCCAAAATATATTATATAGGATTTGCAAGGCCAACCAAAAGAGATGGAGGTGCCAGAGTACCGCAACTAATCAACACTGGCGCGCAGAGTCTACCTACTTGACACAAGTCAAATCTCAAAGTGCCCAAAGTAAGAGCTATAGACCAAACGGGACGGTATGGTTCGGCATTCTGTCGGTATTCGGTTAGATTTGTTTCACCAGTCAGGTCTTATTTGTCACCAGAGAAGTCCACTACGCCCAACGTAGCCTTAGACCGAGTTCAAACGCAGATATCAAGACTAAATAAGTCAAAGATTACTAATAAATATCTCATTTACGCTGTCCCAGTTTTAAATTTGTATCCCTCAATTTGAATTCGAAACAATTCACTAAAACTTAAATATAAATATCGCAAAGTCTGGTAAACCCATTCACTAACGGTTTGTTCTAAAGTATTCTCAAAATCTAACTCAACGTTATTTTTTTCTTCAGCAATTTTCGGTCAATACACCAGAAAAACTGAAAAGAACAAGCAGCTCTACTCAAAGTTAGTATTTCAGAAGAGAAGAGAGACCGGCACACACACCCTCCTACCCTGTCGGTCCCTCCACCACCCCTGTTTCAGGCAACCTCAGACCCTTGAGGAGTGGGGGGAAGAGCAATCTGCTCATCCCTCCTCTCCCGCCCGAAGGCCTGGCGTGGCGCTGCGTGGTTCAGGCCGCTGCGAGAGAGACCGGCACACATACGCCTTCGCTTTTATAGCGCTCGCCAACGTTCTAGAACCGACCTTGGTTGCTACGTAATACCGTCCGCCACTGGGAGTCTTCTTGACATGGTGACGTCGACGTGGTGTATTTGATTGAATCAAATATATTTCTCTTCGATTTCTTAAAGCTACTACACACAAGCCGGCGGCAATGCCGCCGGGTTTATGCCGAGCGGCTATGCCGTCGACAATACAAGCCGCGCAAAGCCGCCAAGCATCATTCCGGTTGTGACAGTCACATAGAACGCTAGTGAAGTGCATATTTTATGGTTGGTTGGTTAAAATGAATAAGGAAATCATCAGCACAGCCGCCGCAGTTGTAATTTTTATTTTTATAAGAAAAAAAAAACAGAAGGACGAGAAGGTTTTGGTTGCACCCAAGTTTACAAAATAGAAAATGGCGGAATGGTACTGTAATGATAGAAGAGTATAAAAAAGATGATGTGGGGTGTCAGCGTTTGCGCAATAGCATGTTTTTTGGGTTGCTGTACATCATCTATGCCTGCACCAGATTTGTGCAACTGTTCGAACTTCTTTTTTTCCGGAAAATAATACGAGGTTACATTTTTTAACTTTCTCTCTACTTCGCCTATATAAATGTCAAATACACTTGCAATTATGTTCAATGCGTCCATTCGATTGTTCCTATTCTTATAGTCTGCATTTCTGGGATTCCATAATATATCATCGTCATGAAATTTTTCAATTAAGAGCAGCACAGCTTCGTCGTCCCAATTAAACGACATTTTAATTTGTTTAAACACACAAACCGCACAACACTACCTCTCGAATGCCAGGAACGAAGTGGCGCCGGCAAGCAGCGTAACCCGCCGGCACACCCCGGCGGCAATGCCGCCGGCTTTGTATGCCGCCGGGTGTACGGAACCAGATGACCTACACTTTTGTACTTCTGAAATATGAGGATTTGGAACCTTGTTGTTTGATTAAAAATCAAACAGAGAAACTAAATACTTTTTTATTCACAAATTAAATTCTAACGGAAGTCTAAGCAAAGCAGTAAAAAATAAACATTACATTTGAAAGACTAATTAGTTATTAACAAAAAAACATATTTTTTGCACTTTTCTTCTTTTGCACGAATACATTATTATACCTTAGCTTTTTGACTCTTCAGATACAGGTTCTTCCCCGGGATCAGAATCGTCTGCTGCTGGCCCGGGAATAAGATCCTTTGCTTCTTTGGATGTCGGATGTGATTTGTAATAATAATAATGGTATTCCTTAGGAATTACACTTTTACAAAGCTTAAGCAAATCGTGCTTTTTCTTTATTGATTTTGGCTTAATTTTTCTAGAAGCATCTGTTATTACAATTTGGCTTGGATTGGCTCCTTTACCCAAAATTTATTTCCATATAATCGGATGTATGATCGTACCTATACTCTAATATCCAAGGCTTGGATTTAGTCTACTTGATTTTAAGCCAATAAAACTTTTCGTCCGAGGTATTCCTCAATTTAGCTTTGATTAGAGTTTTTAATAATTTTTCTATGTTTAGAAAACCTTTATACTTTAACGTTATACGGTTTTTCATCTAGACGTTCTGGCCATGCGAAAAATTTTCAATCAGCCCTGGATTGTATAAACAGGAACAAACCTCTGCGCCTTTTCAATTGCACTGTGCGACTTCCATATCTGCTGTGCCCAGTTTCCAAAAGCTTTTGCGCTATTACTTGATTATCTGGATTAATTTGGACCATGTACAGCAGAAGAGTACTAGTATTTTGATTGCGATTTTGAACACTACACGTGTCAGACAACAACGAAATTTCGGTGACATCAGAAGATAGCTGATTGATGTAATTCTATAGCTTTGTCTACCCGTAGCAAAATGCTGACTTGGGAGGGGGCAGTTACGACCATACATCTGGAACAACCCCTGATTTCGATTGACACCGGAACAACAAAAACCCAACATGTGGTGCTTATCTTAGTCTGACTCTAAAATTTTCATATCAGCACTAAGACAAAACTGCCAAAATGAGATAAGTGCAGTATGATCTATTTGTTAGAAAACTAGCAATGTTATTAATCGCAAGTGCACATGTCTTGGTTTAGCTGTCGTTAACGGCGTCATGTTGCATTTAAAGTATTTATGGCACACGCGTACAACTCTATTCCTGTTAATATATATACCTGGTTTTTTCAAAAGCCAGATTATACAATTTTAGATAAGGAACAAAAATGACAAAAAGGTGTTTATTTTATTTTGACAGTAACCCGACGATTCGTGCAGACGGGTTCCAAGACATTCAGTTATTCGTAAGCAGCGTAACCCGCCGGCACACCCCGGCGGCAATGCCGGCGGCTTTGTATGCCGCCGGGTGTACGGAGGCTTAGCCGGCGGCACTGTGTGTAGCAGCCTTTACAGCGCATCCTATAAAATGAATGCCACACCCCTAGGGCATCTCATTCCCAAGGGCTAGATCAGACCCTGCAGAGTTTCCGGTCCCAAAAGGGCCTATAGCCAGTTCTAGCACCTCTCCGACGACCGGGAGTGCATCAGCTCTGTGCATGTTACAATTCCCGCACGCTGACCACTCTAAATCAGGACTAGAACCAAAAAGAAACTTTTTGCCCACTGTTAGGGACCTTACAGGGCCCACAACACCAGGAGGGTTGTGTGAAGATTCCCCCAATGTTGAATAACGACTTTTCAATCGTGCCTATTTCAGCCTGTGCCTGGATACGCCACTTTGGAGTGTTTCTTTTCCTCTGCAAATCCCTGAACATAGTACTGCCTCAGGACGCATTCTTGACATCCTGAATTTCGTCTAGTGCTATCACAAGGCTTCAAATTTGATTTAAATTATTTCATTCATTATAATAAACTCTAATACGGAAAACGAATCACTTTCTGTCTATTTCTATGTGCAAGACGTGGCAAGAAAAACGTCATACAAACATCAGGTTTGGTTGAGGATTTGAGACTCTATATTGGTGACAACGTAATATTTATACCAGGGGACTATCCCTAACTCGGAATAATAGAACGATAATAATAGCTAAGGATTAATCTAAAATTTAACGTAAATACGAGGGGAGGTCAGAAAGTACGTAATTCACGGCACCGAACAAAACTTCATTACATCACCAATGGCTCAGCAATCGCGTGAATTTTATCCCACCTTGGATTAGGAATGCTTAAGAGCCAACTAGTCAGACCAAGACTAGATCAACACTAGGGAAAAATATAACACAGCTTTGTGCTTTTTTAGACCTTGACTTCGTTTCTTCTGCGTAAGTTTGGGACATACCTCGGCAATTAACCAAGCAGTTGCTCTTAGACTCATGGAAATGACGTCTAAGTAAGTAGATAACTATAAAGTGACTGCATAATATAGGTGAATATACTCGTATTTACCTGATCTTCTTTTCTTTGAGGCCAACGAATGCTGGACTTGGCCTACCAGTCAACGAATGTGTCGCCAGAACCTTTCTAGGGAAAACTGTTATGAGTAGCTTTCTGGTAGCAGCCGTATAGCTGCTCCAGTTGACAGCATCGTACACGGTCCGATCAATTTTTGTAGCGTTGCTGCCAATTTGCACCTGAAATGGATGATTTGTAAATATAAGTGTGCACCTATTTGTTTACAATATTCTATAACTAACACTATTCTTATGAATCTGTTTTACAAGTTGGTCTAATTGGACTACAAACTAGTCTAGTCGGACTACACTTTTGATAACTGGTATCATTAGAAATACTATTTTCAAAGTGAAGTTGCCAGGTTGACATTATGAGCCATTCGTGAGATGTGCTCAAGAATCCATAAAAACGTTTCCTAAGTTGTCTTGTAGTTGAACGATAGAATTGAATCTTTTTCTAAGTATTTCATCGTGAAGGGCATGACAGAGTTAAGGGCCTAGAACTGAAGCAATGTTCTGCGACTTACGCAACTGACTCAGTTAATTTTTAGGCTCGTCTGAATGCTGTGTAAAGCCTAGACTTTGAAATTTTCAAGCTCTGCTATACATGCGAATCACATATACCTTTTCATTTCTACGCCTATTCGCGAGTAAGTATTGGGATGAAATTTTCACACGAAGTTACAGCTAAGCCAAGAACGAAAACGCTTTGTAGTGTTTGGTGATCGGTCCAAAGCGCCAAAAAACAAGATAATTAAAATCACTCAAGCTTCGTTTCTTGACGTTCCAGAGTAGCCTAGTTTTTTTATGATAGTATATTGATACACTTTCACGGTAATTCTACGCACCTATTTCGACACATTTCACACATCATAGATTTCCCCACATATTTGCTCTTTTTTTTATTAATGGCACTGGAATATAACCCATCAGCCAGAATCAAGTCATAAATAATAAGAATAATATGTCCGAAACCTTTTCATAGAGAAAGGATCACATGAAAAACTAATCCGGTAGGGAGGGAGAATGGGAAATTGGAGGTATTAGACAGGGACACACATTCTTCTCGCCCACGGGCATATCAGAGCATTTTACCGTACTCACATACAAGAGGGTCGCTGTAAGAAGGATGAAAATACATATATGGAAAGATCAGAGGAAAAACGCTAAAACTTATATAAGCAGCACTATAGTCTATTAACATTAACTCTGCCTGGATGACAGATAAAGGGAGACAAAGAAAATAAATTGGATTATTCTAGAGACTCTAAATTTTGCTACCAGCATTTTTGATGAATTCCATAAAGCAGGAAGTCAGGTTTTTGTAGCGAGAGGAGTGATTGTGTAATGTATCGAGCAGGAAACCTACGCACGAGTAAGTTTAGGTAAAGATTGTCACAGTGTGTAAGATGCTTAACGAAACCGAAAAAACTGAGATCCAAATCTCCTTTGACATTGCAATGCTCGCAAAGTTCCGAAGGTATTATATTTAACCTAACGAGCTGCGGAGGGAAGGAGTCTTGTCCAATTTTCATACGAGTGTTGCATCTTCACCAATAACATAAAAAGTACATCCTGAACCAGAATTGGATTTAGAAGATCCGTGAAGATATGTTTAAAATCATTGTGACTATTGCATATGGACAACATAACGTTTTTATTGATATGAGGATTGTTACCGTATTTAGGAGTAGTTATGTCATTATTTTTTATGAGCTGGAATAGATCAATACTAGCAGTTTTACACTAGGACTCCAGAGAAAACATCGGACCATGCTCATTGCTGCAATCTGAGGAACCTTTTTTTCATGTAAATCCCAAATAGTTTCTGACAAAATGTACGTCTTTTTGATGCCATTGCACTACATGAAAAATTGTACTAGAAGTTGTTCCGAATGGGCAGTATAGACTCAGTCTACTTGACGCCACCTTTTAGAGTCAATTTTCAGTGATATTTTGGTGGCATCCTATATTATTTTATGCCAGAATATTAGCCGAACTTCTTCAAGCTTGTAATTCTAAGAATGTGGCTGAGCTAAAAACTTAGCCCGTTATCTTGATAAATTTTCATGTAAATCTTATCATAAACACGTAGAATAAAGTTTGATATGGATACTCACTTTAGCCTTGAAATGATTTCCGTTTTCCTGGCCAGGACTAGCGTTAGAGGCTCTGCTGGGAGATGGTGAGCTGGCATCACCATATTTAGAGCTAATGTCCCGTAGCGTGCCCATTGTTGCATCCAGGTTTGACTGGACGTCTGCAAGCAAAGAATAATATATTTAAACTGGAGAATAACACCACCTCATTTGCGAGTTTAAAAAAAAATCAATCATAAACGATTATGATGTAACAATAATAATAATAATTATGGTTATAATACAATTATTTCATTGTTAAATATCCACAGACAAATCAAAAGTCTGCAGGAAATGGTAGAACAAAAACAATACAGATTAGAAGACAATTTTAAAGCAGTTATCTGTTCAACTCATTTTTTTGAAACGCTTTTGAATATTTTATCTTAAATTATTGAATATTTTACAACCCATGTAACTCAAAGATAATCGTGTTGTTTATTATTGAAGTGGTTCAATTTATTCTTTTTATACGCAAATATTAATAATACATGCATGTAAATACAAGCTACTGATTTGCCATGGTTCTAATAACATGTTTCTCGAGAAGAAAAACTCAGCTGTATCTCCAGTTTAAAATGCCAAGTGACTGTTAAAGCATGAACAGTATATTATAGTAATTAAAACTTGCTTACTACTGTGATTTGATAAACATTTTATACCGTTAGCACTTTTACGTCATCTATGACACAGCATTTCAACATGTGGCTTCCAACTTAGATCACGATCAATGGTAATACTCAACAACTCAACAGAAGTAGATGTTTCAATTGTTGAAACGTTATTAAAAATACTGAAATCTCGGTTATCTCTTGGTGGAAATTTCATTATTGGGTCCTAGCTATATTTAATATAGGCCATTATTTGCCGACCGTTTTCTGGCGGTTTTGCATACCGCTTTAATATTATGAAAAAGTTCAATGTTACTAGAACTAGTCAATAAGATGAGATATAATTTTACAATATAATAATACAATATAATTTTACAACTTGAAACTGTATTCGACAGATATTCATTGAGATTACTCGCATGCAGCAAAAAAAAGAAGAAAAAGAAAAAACAAAAAAAGTAAAAAGATGCGATGCGTTGCTTCAAGAATATGTATTTGCCTATGGCCAAGTACCAAAACGGAAGAGAGTAGCGTAGCATACGGCACGTCTCTGTAAGACACTGTGTGCCTTTGTTGAGGTCTATGCTCACGTGAATTTGTTTTGGAACTTGTCTATATAACAACTTGTTGCGGTAAGAATCAATGCTTAGATTCAGTCGCACCCAGCTGTTACGCGCTAGCGCAGCGTGAAGTATGACTACCTTATATGGTATGATGGATCCCTAAGATCGATTGGCAGTGACATATGGATGGTCTGGTGGCAAAACCACGTATCAAGCATTTGGACACTTTTTCAGGAAACACGAAAAACCATTTTTGTAATATGGGTTCATCCTCGGACTAACAAAAATAACACCTATCAAGGGTTGGATTGTTACGTATGTGTTTAGTTTTATTATAAATAACTAATCACAAATTCTGATTTCAAAAGACGTTTGGAAAATTTATGAATTACTTACCTGACAGTTAGCATGCCTTAATTCAAGCAAAATGCTACACATAGACCAAAACGGCCAGAAATAGAAAAATCTTCAACTTTGGAAAATGAACAGAGCATTAATGCTACCTGATATAGTATAAGTGATGTTTGATACCAGTTATTACAGATAGTGGTGCAAAAAAATGATCTATGAGCTTACACTCTGCTGATCGTTTAACTTGATAGCTTAGTGATATATGGACCGACATATAACAAAAACTCAATTTTTTAAATTCCGATGATACGTGGGATTGCCACTAGGCAATTGATATGCAAAATAGATTATTCTGAGCTGTGTTAGTTACCAGCAGACTCAGCCAATAGCAAGCGGATGAAATCAATGCCTACCAAAATTCTAATGGCAGCAATGTCCAGACTAGGCAGTGCTGGTGTGGTTGGAGGTCAAACTGTCAAAAGTAGATGCCAGAAAGGGCGATTTGATAGAAAGGTAACATATCTTCCACGACACAACATCAGGTTTTGACGTTTATTGACATAAACCGCTGATGAGCTATTAAAATCTTTCTTTAGAATTTTAAACATGATATCCAAACTAACTAGCACCATCGACTCGTAGCTTTCCAGATGTTCCTGCATTATCTGCTTATGGCTTGCTAAACAGCTTAGGTAGACATACTTCATAAACGCCACCTGATGAGAAATGGCACGACGGCCGTTTAACTATCATTTTATCTAAACCAATAACACCGCAGTTCATCAGTTTGTAGTTTATATGACATTTAATAGCTTAAGTTAGGGGCGCATCCATGGTGACGCACACGACGCATTGTGCGTCGGGTCCCGAGTCCCTTCAACGCGGTGCCTTAACGTCATGAGGCTTCAGTTATCATTGTTTGGCTCTGATGTGATGTATAATCTGCTTCAAAGATGGCATTAGTGGAAGTAACGGCAATGGATAGTGTGTCAAATACACTTACATGAGATTCACATCTAGAAATTAGTTGCGCATCTACTTTTTCTTATCCATTCTGGAAATTACATCTGCAAACTTGCTGAATTTCAAAAATGAGTGTGATAAGAAATAATTATATTCAATGTGCACTGTCGAATTACAAGTCATATACATGCTAACAGTGATTACACACAACGCGGGAGTGGTGGTGATTTCCCGTAATTCTCCTCAGTTTTTGAAAACACGAAAAACCGAGAAAATCGTAATCTATAACTTTGAACCATAAACTGTCTCCAGAAAGGACAACATATGAATAACCCGTCACACCCGTCAAACGATCCTAGTGAGCAATAGTGGATTGACTGTTTGCACCCTAAAAACTATCTGGTCTGCAAGATGACATTTTACAGGTTTTTCTTTTGACGTTTTATAGGGTTTTTTACATAGTGCCCGATCCGCTCCTTTAACCCACTCCGTGTTCTCCAATTATTTTCAGACGTATAATAGGGCGCCAATTTCTCTTTCCGAAGGAGCCCTACAAAGTTTTTGCTTTGGGCCTCGTGGACCTTACATCCATCACTGTTCACTTGATTTTTTGCTGCAGGAACTAAAAGGTAAGTAGAATTTTTTTCCTCACCATGCATACCGTTGGTGAACCTTTCTAGATCTGCCTTCAGCTCCCTGTATTTCCTTTTGAGGGTTTCATAGTCATCGCCTTGTCCCGATTCTTCAGTTTGTGTTCCTCGATCCATAACTTTGATGACATGCTGTAAATATTACAAAATGTAATCTCGCCTTGCTATAATACAAGTATAAATGTCAGCACTACTGTTTCCAAAACGGTTTCGTCTGGTGCAGGTAACTAAGTTCGTTTCACTCGGCCGAGAACTTTATTTAAGGATGCATATAAATCTTGTTCAGCAGGATAACATGCGCGTACAGCAGGTGTATGCCCTTTGGCGATTTGTTGCAAAATCTCGGTAAGTATTTCGTGTTTGCGCTCAGATGTGCCTCTTCTTGCGACGTTGATAGTTTAATTTCGCGATTTGCAGAAATGTACTGAGTGACAAAAAAAGTAAACACCTACGCATGTTTATTGGAATTCAAGAATCTTTTACATATCGATTTATCTGGCCATGAATAACAATGGTCAGGTTTCTCTGTTAAGTTTTTGTGGTGGCTGCGTGTATTGTTCTGGTGATAAAGAAGCTTTCAGTTTTCGTACATTTACATTATCAGTTGAATGTTAGTTTTCGTGTAGCTTATTGAGAAGCCTTTTTGTGATTGCTCAAAATGCCCAGAGTGCGTAGATTTCACCGGGGGTTTCTAGGAGGACCAACAGATCTTTACGCAGTATCTGCAGTGTTAACAAGCATGGGCTCCGGAAGGCCAAGGACAGCGAGCGAGGGGTTCTGGACGTCCCAGAGGGATCACAGGGCGACAAGACCACCGGTTAACACGTTGACTGCCGCAATGTTAAAAAAATTGTGTCTTCTCTGGCCGCAATACTTTTTTCAGCTTAAATGACTAATAAGCTATAGTTTAGTAGTTCTTACTTAATGATGTTGATAATTTTGACCTAGAACATGTAGATATTGATGAGGATCCACGGTGGGTGCACGCGGCCCTTAAGTATGATTTTACACCCAGGAGCCACGTGGCTCCTAAGTGGGATCTCAACGGACCTACGTCACGGTGATAGAGCGCAAGCGCCAGCGGCTATTGCGAGATATCGTATAACCACGTGCCGCTTGTTAGTATATTGTTAGAGTCAGTAACAAGCGGAGTGTGCGAATAAAAAGTCTACGATGAGTTATGAAAAAGAACAAGAAAGGCTCATGAAGATATGGCAGGTAGGTGTCACTTGAGACTTTTGAACACGGTTATACCAAAATATCTAACTTTTTCAGGAGCTGTTGTCCGATGAGGAGGAAGATCCATTTCCTGATTTGTCGGATGAGTATGTACCAAGTCATGACGAGTCATCAAGTGAGGACTCTGATGATGACTGTAGTGATCGAAAACGCCGTCGTTTACTTTTCAATGAATCCCAAACACCAACATCTGATAGTAATGCGGAAGTCGCCAGTACTTCAGCCATTGATCTCGAAATGGAAACAATTGAAGAAGTTATTCGTAGTTACGCTGCAGATTCCAGTGAAGTTGGTCCATCAAATAACAGTACCACAGATCTTGCTTGGTACCAGGTATCTGGCTCACATTTGAAAGATTTTCATTTTACAATATCTGATCCGGGAATCATACCACAAATATACGAATCATATTCCAATAAAAATCCAATAAACTTCTACGAGTTATTTCTGAACGATGACATTTTGGATATGATGGTCATAGAAACCAATAGGTATGCTGCTCAATGCAAGGCACGAGAATCAGCTCCTAAGGCTAGGATCCATCAGTGGCGCGATGTAGAAAAAGCAGAAATGAAAAGATTTATTGGTATAATATTTTGGATGGGATTGTGCCAATTTCCATCCATTGAGTCATATTGGTCGAAAGAGGTGATGTTTGATAATAAAATAAAAAATGTAATGTCAAGAAACCGGTTCCAGTTGTTGCTAAGAGTCTGGCATTTCCACGATAATGAGGTAATTTCAGAAAACAGGCTTCAAAAGATAGTTCCCCTGATAGAAAAGCTACTTGAAAGTTTCCAAGCCCCGATCGTTCCAAAAGAATCGCTTTGTATTGATGAAACACTGGTACCATTTAGAGGTCGTCTACGATTTAGGCAGTACATAAAAAACAAGCGTCATAAGTTTGGTATAAAACTGTACAAGCTTTGCTTGGAAAAAGGATACACATACAATATCCAAGTATATGTCGGCCAAGATAAAACCGAAGGGCAAGCATCGTCACAGAATGTTGTACTTACACTCGCTAAGAATCTCTTGTACGAAGGTCGTACGATTTATACCGATAACTACTACACAAGTGTATCGTTGGCTCATGAACTGCTTGAGAAGAAAACACATTTAGTTGGCACTTTGAGGGCAAATCGAAAACTTAATCCTAAAGAAGTTACAGAAAAAAAACTGAAAAAAGGAGAGACTATTGCTGCCGAATCCACTTCAGGCGTAGTTGTTCAAAAGTGGATGGATAAGAGAGATGTCCTCACTCTCAGTACTAAACATACCTCTGAAATGATAAAAGTCAAAAGTGGTGACAAGGAAACGGAAAAGCCTGCATCAGTGATCGATTATAACAAGCATAAAGCATTTATTGATTTATCAGACCAAATGAAAGCTTATAATACATGTCTGAGGAGAGGCATAAAATGGTACAGGAAGCTGGCCATTGAACTGTTGACGGGTACTGCCTTGGTAAATGCATACATTTTACACCAACAAGTAACAAATCAAAAAATGAGCGTTACAAAATTCAAAGAGGTTGTAACAACAGAATTTCTGAATGTGGGAAGCCTGTCAAAACCAAACGAAAATATCGAAAACATGCCATATATTCAACATATTCTTGAGGATGTTGGAAGGGCAGGCCGAGGAAGGTGCAGTTTATGCTATGAAACACTAGCACGCCAACTTGGGCGCATTCATGCACAAGCTAAGACGCAAAAAACCAAATTGAAATGTTCACAATGTATGAAACACTACTGTTTGTCATGTTTTTTTGAGGTGCATCGCTGTACAAAATAAATAATGTTTATTAATGTTTTTATAAAGTTTGAATATTACTTTTTTGTATTTATATTTTTTACAGTTTTTTTTGGACTACAATAATTATAAATATAATAATTAGCTAATAAATATTGTTTAATTTCAATGACATAGGTAACAGCCACGTGTACCCATACAGCACACTAAGTTCACAGGCCAAATGCAAATTCTACATATAACAGCCACATATTCGCGTCCCCATATGAAACTAACGCGGTTGAAGTCCAGCTGTGGGTACACGCGGCTGTTAAATATTTTTCTGCTTGAGTCCCCACAGTGTAGTCTCGCGGCCAGATCTGTCGATTTCCTGAGATCCCACTTTGGATACTCACGGCAGTCAACGTGTTAAGACTCCTGGCTCTGAGAGACAGATTCAGTAGTACTCGAGCCATCGTTAATCAGTGGTTTGAAAAGCATGGAAAGATGGTTGGTATGCGTACGGTATATCGCCGAATACCACAGCTTGGCCTTTTTTCTTATCGCCCACATTGGGAGCTACATCTCACAGCTGAACATCGGCGTAATCGTTTGCTCTGGTGTAGAGAAAGAATTCTATGGGACCGGGAATGGAATCAGGTGATCTTTAGTGACGAATCCCAAACACCATCCAAAACCCGGTTATGAAGCAAGACAATGCCAGACCGTATGTTGCCCGAGCATGGTTAGCCTTCATGGACCAATACCTCATCAACCGTTTACCTTGGCCACCACGATCGCCTAACCTATTTCCAATTAAACATGTCTGAAACATGATAGGTCGCAGGCTCTTGAATTTGCAACACCCTCCACAGACTTTAGCAGCTCTTACGTAGTTGCAGTAGCCTGGAATGAGATACCCCAACAGGATGTCGACCACCTTATCAGCACGATACCCAGGCGTGTCAATGATGTATAAGAAATCGTTGATCCTCAACACATTATTGAACCAGCTTCTGCAGTCAGTTGACGAATCAAGCTGAAAATTCAACCATTTTACTAGTAAGGGACACTGAACATAGTTGCCAAAAATTATTAAAATCGGATATACATACGTATGTGTTTACCTTTTTTGTCACTCAGTAGATAGTCAAAAGTATCGCAACACAATACGTAAGACACAACGCGTAAGCACAGGATTTTTGACTATTACATTTTGTTCCTTTTCTTGCACATCCATTTCGACCTTTACTCTTACCTTCTCTATCCTCTTTTCAGCCTGTACACCTTGAATCTGTCCCTCTATAAGTTTCCTGGCCAGAAGACGGGAGCTTTTCGTTGGGGATCTCTGTAGAAGTACAGAACAATAAAATGTACAAATGACTAGGTGCTAAAAATTACCAAAGACAAACGAAGTCGATTGAATTAAATTGATTGAATTTCAAATTCGAGGTATAATGAGTATGGCCCTGTTCACGGTGTAAACGTGGCCGCAAAATCATGCCGATCGTGTATGATATATAGACAAACACAACACACCTAGCAGATTCGAACCCACGAGACTTTGAGTCCATGGATTAGCAGCTCGACGCGATAACCCACTCGGTTACCCAGTCTCTGTTCCGTGCGTTTACACAGCTCTGTACTCAAAGACGATGCAGCATAAAGTCCATTTACAATATGCGTCGTTTGCAGTACCAGTGTTTACAGCAGTGCTGGTGGCGACGGGCTAAAAAGAGCTGAACGACACTGTGGCCACGTATACACCACGAACATGACCATTATAAGCAATCAGGAGACTCCACTACTGCTGTAAAGCTCTTCATGTCAGGATTCATCAGATACCGGATGAAAAGTAGATTCTCACATAGAGCGCTTCAGCGCTGCAGTTTACCAAAAGCGCGCTAATAATAGTTACTTATGTGTCTAGAATTGCGTAGCCAGTAGTTGTGTTACAAGTTCATGCTACAAGTCGATCACGCTTAAGCCGCTAGTTTGACAGTGGCTGACAGTTCACATTAGACTAGTATACCTCTCAATACAATCCGCAAAATTTCCGGAAATAATGAAGGATTACGTGGAATGCAAATGCAGTTTAAACTGAGTAAGACCACAGCTTAGCTAATAATCAGCTATGAAAATCTCCTGTCACTGTCAAAAACGACCGATATTTCGGCAGAGAAAGTCGAATGTAAATTCCCCAAGTACAACGCTGAAGGAGGCTTCTGTGCTCAGCAGCAGCCGATGTTACCACGTGTCCTGCCAGCGGCCGCAGATATTTCTTGCAATCGTAGAGATTATACTATTCCGATAAGATCTGGTGTAGTTTGTATGAACCAATAATAAAAAGCCAAAAGGTGTGTGTTTGTTCAAAAAGAAGCATTGATGACTATTTATGAAAAAGTTTCGAAATAAATTCGTATTGGTGGAAGTATTTACATTAGAAGAATATTTACTCTGCAGCTGTGATATTCTCAATCCATTCCATTTTCAATGCAAACACTGATAAAACACCGCAATCAAACCTGACCCGTCCGACGACTCCTCAGCTAGGATGCTACTGCATACACGGCAAGTTTTTAATGTGGTCGATAGTTTCGATATTTTAATTACCTAGAAAAGTTGATAATAACGGTATGCAACCTTAGGATTCTTACTTATAAAATATGCCGCTCTCCACACTCATACATTTTTTAAAGAAATTTGTTAAGAATGAGCGAATGTTGTGTTGTGTTTTCCGCGACAAAGACACCGAAATTCTTGTGACTGAGTGGAAGTTGAATTTTCCTGACCTGACAATAACACTGAGGATGCAAAATGTTGGAAGACAAGCGAAATGTTTGATGGATACGGAAATGGGACAACCGAAATTTTTACTTTGAACCTTATCTACTTTAATTTCACGTCTAAAAGTTCTTAGGAAAGATATCTCTTTTCGCGTTATAAATAGAAATTTTACGATCTCATTTCAGCGCCATGAGATTCTACTAAGTAAGCTCAGTAGGCCCAAAAAAAAAACAATGAGTATTAAATTAATTAAATTACATCCGAGTCCTTTTATTGGATAAATATGACAATGCTATAAAAGCAGTGAATAACATAATACGCTCAACTAGATATTTGCTTTTATCTAAGAACTTGCTCGCATCACAGCAACCACTTAGAAAGTACCAGTATCAGCTATGCCGCCATTATTTGTATTTTTTCCCTTCTACAATCATGAATTAAGCAGACTTGTTCATATGCTATAGGGTTAATAAATGTTAAATGTATCTTCGCCTTATTAGTTTATCCCTGTTTATCAAAAATAACTGAGCGATTCACATCGCAACACAGATAGTATTTCTGCCCTGCTAAACGTCAGTAGGCCCGGAGAAAAACAACTCCGATGTATTGGTTTGTCCCTTTGGTAGGGGGTGGTAGTCAAGTTAGCCAATAGTATAAACTACACAATCTTGGCAGCAAACAACGCAATGTAAATTATATCAGCTTGGTTCCTTCTAATCTATTCAAATTCGTTGGTCTGGAGTACTAATTGGGGGCTATGGCACACGAAGTGAGAAACACCTAATATTACTAAGTTCAGGATTCACAGAACTGGAACTCCTCCAGTTTCAAGTAATTCTGCAGATTCCTTTGGAACATACTACCCACTGCTTCGTCGCAATTAAAATATCGTTGAAGCGTGAAAATGATTTATCTCTCCCAGATCGATGGCTGCTTTCAATTAACGAAACCTCGATATTGCAATCTCCAGAGAAACTCCAGGAGGCTGCTTGACGCTGATATGTCTCGGCATCTAATTGGGGAATTGAAAACGAAGCAGCCTGTGAAACATGGATCGCGCGGGACGAACATGCCACCTTACACCAGACATTAAAATGAGTTATAGTAATTGGTGAATCTGAGATTTTTCCAGGCGAATTAGATAGCCTGGAATATTTGGAAACATAAGTGGAAGTTTCAGTGTATACGTCGTAGTATCATTCCGACTAAACGAACCAGATTTCATAATACATACAAAAGAGAGAGAGAGAGAGTAAAATATCTTCAAACTTCGTATTTTCCCCGAACTGTCATAGTAACAGAAAGAATGTGTGTCGCCTACAGTTCATGAGCTTTCCAGAAAATTGTCACTATCTTACTTTCTAGGTCTAGCTAAAGGGTGGTTACGGGTAGCTACGAGCCTTGCCTTCAGGAAAATTAAGACTTGAAAGGAATCTCAGCTACAGAATCAATTAGTATTCCAGAGTTAATAACGTTGGATGAACAACAACAACTACCCAATTTTACACCATAAAAAGATACCCAACTAGCAAAGTAGTGCTATAAGCTTTTGGTAAAAGAACCGTTCAGCCATAAAAGCTCTCTATTGTTGTTGTCTGAACACCAAAATGCTGGCTTAATGTTGAGTGGAATGCAAATTTGCTTTCTGCAAAATATTTGCTCTAAAATGAGGTGTTTAAAATATTCTTATAGCATAGTTGCACAACACCTTATAGGACAAATTTTTAATTGATGCATAAACGTTTATACAACTATTTTATACGGCATATTTGCAGGTTAGTCAAAATGGTTGTGTTGTGGCATCCATGGTAACGTTTATAAAACAAACCCGAGCCTTGTTGTTTTGCTGTGCAAATTTACTACTTTAGCCAACAAATTGCTCCCAACGGAAGCACTTATACAACTGTTGTTTAGTATCTGCTAAATATGTTGGTATACCACTTCACCATAACCTAACTTTCAGCTGTCATATTTTAGTTAAAAATGCCATAACCAATGTTTTAAGACAAACAACGCATGCATATTGGTTCAAAATGTTTTATCAACTGTTCAAACAGAAGATATAGATCTGGTACAAATTCTGGGTGAATCATTCGACTCTGTCGGTATTTCATTTCAGACATTTGTCAAATTGTTGTATAACACCTGCAGGCAACACCAAAATATTTTAATAACCTAAAGACAACATGGACGATGCCATGATTATACACAACCACCCGCCATATTGCGCAAACATTTATTCCTCTATTTGATATTAAATAATTATGTTTCAGTTCGAAATTACAGATATAAAGTGATAAACATTTGTATAATTGTGTCTAAATATATGATTTGTGGAAGATTTAACGCAGATAAGTTCAGTTTTCCATCTTAAAAATCTAGACATACTTTTGATCATTATCAAAATATGAATCAAATACGAAGCCCGTAGAATTTGTGTAACTACTTTGCACGATAATCACAATAAAATTTGCTGCGCAAGTAATTCAATAGCCCTATATCATAGTGTTAGAAGTTTATCATATACCTGTGTATGAAATTCACAATGGCCGATATGTAAGTAAACAAGATGACTGTATTGTGTTAGTTATATATTCTTCACTTCGTCTATACAATACATAAGAAATAGTTTGGTTGCAATAAAGTATAATCACACAACTGAATAGTTGTATAGTTGACAAAAACTGAATCTTGCACTGACGCAAATGTTTGTTTGTTGTATAACTGTTAACTGCAGCCCTTATACAACCTCTTGAATGACTGAAGTGTCCTATTAGGTGTGCCCATTCCGCTTGTATAGCTGTTCTAAGAGGGTTTTGCCAATGTTTTTACAGTATACAATGCTGTGTAAGGAATACTGTATAATCATTCTTGCAACTCTAATAGGAGTCAAATGACTACCAGAAGTTGTATGTGACTATTAGTAGGACTGGATAGATTGGTAGTTAACTAACCTAGAGAGTTCAAGTCCAGAGGCCGCGATGGGCATAGCTCCTCGACCTATTCAATGATTTGTCCATTAAAAGATTTAGATCAACTATACTAAGGTAGCCGAATTTAGCAGAATGAGAAAGGATACTGAGGTGTTTCGAAAATCTCGGCAGTCTATGAAGAGGAAGTTGTCTTAGCTGGAACTAATTACTTGTTCAGAATCATTATGAATCGAAGCTTCACTAACAAAAGTGCTGATCCTGTACAGTTTGAATGGAAGAGATTTTTCAGTCTTAGCACAATTGAAAGAACCATCCCTTGAATATTTTCACTTGTAATAGCTTGTATCTTCGAAAACAATTAAACGATATATTGAGTGTATATCTAACGTAGCTGCACTAATGTTGGTTGCAGAACATGTAGGCAGCGGCCGTAAGGTTATTCATCGAAATTACCCCCATTATTTCCACGTTTAAAATCATATAATCCAGCCTGCTTTGTCGTTGGAAAAGGGTCGTGCTGCATGATTGGTAAACAAGCTTATGCTATTAGTTTTCCCGGATTGTCTTTTTATTCCCTGCAGCTGCTTTCCTGTACACCAGTTATACCTATTTATACTTTATTGAATATTGTTGATCAACCGGTCCCTTATTTTGATAAAAAATAGTTTCATTGTATACTGCCGACCGTTGTACCCGACAAGCGCACGCTGTGCCGAAAGAGTAAAAAAAGCAGGAATGGAACTTGAAAAGCTTCAAATAATCATTCATGTCACTACTACTTACCAGGTCTTCTCTAAATGTCTCTGTTATGCCACGGAAGTTCCGTTCCAGGTAACTGCGGTCCTCTGAAATAATAATAATCATGGTTAAACAAGAATTTACTCGGGGGCGTAAATGACTAAATAAAATTTTTCATTCCTCATCAATTTGACGATGAGAGACGATTTGGCTTTGCATCTTATTGATTTTTATAAAATTCCTTCTTAATATCAATAAGCTACTTGGGCAATAATCATAAGAAGCAAATAATTGACTTATGATTTTATACCGAAAAGGTAACAGATTTTGTTAATAGGTTAGAACCGTTGATTTTCAATGAGCACTTGTTGAGACCTCTGGATGTTGCTATCATGTGGTTCAGTATTGTGATAGGGTCGATATTCACTATCGGCTTCCCCTTGTGTACTAATGATACCGAGGATACGGTCGAAACATGCAATTCAACAACAAAGCCAGGAGTATAGTAGATGATACGCACTAGTTTTAACTGCCATCTGAATCCATTTTTTTCGAGGCCTATAAGGGATTTCGAGGTCAAAACAAAATAAATATCGTGCAGATTCATGAGTGCTACTCGCTGTAACGAAATGCATGGCGGCTTGGCGAGACTCATAGCGCACGACAGGGATGCTTCTGGAGATGCCAATTTTCCAGAAAAGTCGTCAATTTAACACCGATGGCTTCAAATACTCGTATATCGGTGGTATCGATTCTTCAAAACATATTCTTCTTTCAACCTATCTGTGAATCTAGTTCAGCAATCGATTCATTGATTGGATCCGTTTTCAGTAAAGTTGTCCTTTTATTCGTTGGTGGAATGCTCAACTCGTTTTGTTTCAACGATTTCAGAGCTATCAATAATACAAAAACGCGACAGAAACTTCATGAGAGGATAAATGAACGGTACCTCTGTAATCGACCACAATTTTCAGGTAAAAAAGGATAATTATATGAATTAGCAGGATATGAGATTGTCAAAATGAAAAACTCATATTTGATCACGAAAAACGAATAGTTATAATAATATATTTCATTGAGACCTGACAATCGGTACAAGCATGCGAGATAAGATAATTAAAAAAAATATAAAATAGAATATAAAAGTCATAGACCACAGTGGCTATCTGTGAATGAATCTTTCAGAAATCAAAATCTCCACACTAACTTGATGCACAGTTTACTTTAAGGGAAATATAATAGAATATAAAGCAGAGTAACGGTTCTGTCAATTTTAAAGCTACAATTTTTCATGAGATGACAACTCAGGTAAGATGTATCGATGTTTCTGATCACTTTGATGTCGACGCATAAATATATTGACACACAACCATCGATACCAGTATATCGGTGTTTTCGATACATCGATGTATCTTTGTCATCTCTAGGAATTTTAGTAACTACACCAAATCGTAGCACTCCACGATAATGCTGCCTTATATGTACACCATGCTTTTCCACTGATAGATGTTTTTATTTTCAATAAATTATTTTGCACAAGTAAATAATTTTACCTGAGTAGCAGGGATGTGGTATAAAGATCAAATAACCATAAATAGATCAACTTACCGGAAATGGTGACGACAATTCCTTGCACCCTGGCACTGCCATATTTGGCAGTCACCTTGGTGCCACGTTCCAGAGTGTCCCAGGTGTTGACTAATTCCTGCTGGTTAACAATTTCGAATTCTTTGCCTGGGTCGCTGTACGGGATGTAGATAATCATGTGGACAAGCTTTATTGACTCATCTAGACATGCACTGCCTACGGAGCTTGCAGAGTCGTTAAACTTATCCACACAGTTCGGAGAGTTGTTCAGTCCATCCGCTAAGTTCTCAGAGTTGGTTTGGCTGCGCCTTGCCATAAACTTTTTTGAAGCCATTATATATATTCTGAAAAAGGAAAATACTCTTTATGCGTAGTTGTGGAAACATCAATACTAATCAGATGTGTGTCAATCCATAAGAATTTTTGGGGAGGAGAGTGTAGCAAATTTGCACAGGTGATGGCAAATCGCATGACAAATCGTCATAATTTCAAATAGTGCACACAAAAATATACAGGGTGTAAAGTTAGTAGGGGATCAACGGAAGTACATGTAAACAAGAAATTGTATTTTACGAGCTACAGTCCAAACGACTTGATGGATTTTGACATTATGAGGTACTGTTACATTCGTCCTAGCAGTGCGAGTGATACTGTGTGAACTAACATTTTGTAAAATGAACATGGCGGATTTTTTACGGAAATAGCCTAATCAGCTTAATGAGCTTGGGCATTCAACTCGGCATTTCAAGTACGGGATTCCAGCGCGGAATTTGTATGTAACGTTTGGTATCTGAGTAGAATCTTGTCATATTCTCCGCGAGATTGTGCAGAAATGCATTAATATTATGGTGCTGCACTAGGAAATGCTCGAGCAGCTGCTCGCATGTTTTATAATGCGATCATCTATACATCTGAATATACAAATGTCAACCAACTGAACCAGAAAATTGATGGAGCAAAAATACAAATTTTCAGGGTTTATTCTACATGGATTGAAATAGTTTTTACGATAAAATGAATAAAGAAATACAACTTCCATTCTTTTTCACCGCCCTCCAGATTTGAGGGATGGAAGAGATTCTGCAGAAAAGAATGAATTTAAAATTTTTTGCGTTGATTTCTAATAAGCTCTGTTAGAGGGTGACATAATCATTGCTAAAACTAACCATTTAGCTCGTCTCAGAAAAAAAATCACAGCCTAATGGTTTAGTTGTAATTACGACTGAAAGTTCATTATCCCGTTTTTTTCGAAATTTCACAAAATTGCAAATATCTCCTGAACCAAAAAATTCCGATCTCTATCACCTGACTTCCGTTGATCCACTACTAACTTTACACCCTGTATGTGAAAAAAGCTTTTTATGTCTCTGGCCAAGAATGACAATGGATCTCAGAGTATATCTGTATTGTTAAATTGTTCGAAGTATTTCTGTGTACAACATATAATCGAAATGATAAAAGGTGCATCCAGGATGCGTTTTCTGTCTATGCCAGAATTTCTGAGAACGAGTCAAAATTGATGTCAAGTGAACACTGACAATTCAAATAAGATATCAAATGAATTTTAACATTCCAGCGTTGCGGTTTTTCGGACGCCCTCGATGTTAGTCATGTTCTTCGTTCCTTCTGTAGGTGTTCTTATAACCGCTAAATCTCAGCTGCACCAATTTTGTGAGAGGTTTGTAAGTACTTTTGAAAAACAGCGCATTTTCGCAGAGCATATGCAAAAAACAGAAAAAGTAGTGCGCCTTGTTACGAAGTCGATAACCTTGTACAAAACTATGCTTATTTTTATTGATTTAGATCAGCGGTCGCCAATCCGTAGATCGCGAGCTACCGATAGCTCGCAAAGGCAATTCTGGTGGCTCACAACATATTCCAAAAGAGGTGTGAAAATCATAGAAGCTTCCGTAAATTTTATAAATTCTCATATTAAACACAAGCAGCGACAACACTACGGTGAGCAATCTGTCCGAGAACGGAATAAGTAACTAGTAATTTAAAACTAAACGGCACAAAGTCCAGCGGTTGGGTTAGACTTGGCCTGCAATTAAAAACATTATGACGAGTAGAAGTAATGAGCAATGATATAGTTTTACAGTTAAGAAATGACTTCGATAACTGTGATTATTTTTCACTGCAGCTGAATAAATCCACAGTTGTCGTTGACACCTCTCAGATGGCCGAGTTGGTCAGGATGATTTTTAGTGATTTTACGATTAAAGGCCTTTTGAAGCTTATTCCACTAAAAGGACAAGACAGGAATTGTTTTCTTCTTTTGAAAATATTATTTCTTCTGAGAGAATTCCAATTTCGAAAATGGTAAGCTTGACAACCGATGGCGCTCCAGCTATGGTGGGTCGTGATAAGGGTGGGTCTCGTGTGGTTATGTCGTACAGATGAAAGTTTGCCTCAATTTCTCTGTTACCACTACATTGTCCATCAGCAGGCATCATGAGGACATTTTCTAAAACTAAACAACGTTATGAAATTGGTAGTAAAAATTGTGAACGCTCAAGCGTCACACAGAAGATTATTGAAAACCTTGGCCGATGAAATTGACTGTCAATACGGGGAACTACTTCTTCACTCTGAAGTCCGACGGTTAAGTAGGTGACGGGCGCTGAAACGTTTTAATGATATCATATCTGCCATAATTGAATTTTGATGCCATAATTGAACGTGATGAACCGATTCCGGAACTGGACAATTCAATCTGGCTTAGGGGTTTTGGTTTTCTTGTGGATATTATAGAGAAAAAACTAGCAGAAATGATTTCTGATATGAAAGCGTTTATCAAAAAGCTTAAGTTTTGGGAATAGGGTAACTTCAAAAATCGTTTCAAGGATTTCAACGAAATTGCTATAGTAGCACGATTTGTTGAATGGATATCCAACAGTTTGCAACTTTTGCTACGCAGAATTTTAGGCATCGCTGCGATAGAAATGGAAGTGACTACGTTTCAAAATGATTTAGCTTTAAAATCATTAGATTCAAATACAAAATGAATCTAGCCTTGAGTGAGTAAAGATAAATGTTCACTTTTATGTCGTGTTGCCTTGAAAGTGAAAGGGATATGTAGTTCAACCTATTTGTGTGAAACTCCTTTTTCAAATATGAAATTTATTAAAAAGAAATACCGTAATCGACTTACAGATGAACATTTGTACCACTTTTGAAATGGGTTTCTAGCAGTCCAGATCTGTCACCTATTGAAACTTTGTGGCACGAGATGAAAGTGGTTCTACGACAACATCCTGCTCGTACAATCACCGAACTGAGACAAAAGCTTCAAGAAGTATGGGATTGTTTTACACCAAATTTTTGCCAAAACTTGGTTACCACTATGCCCCAAAGAATTTCAGCCGTAATAAAAAATAAAGGTGATGTTACCCAATGGTAATCTTTCAATTGTTGCTTTGTTAACTTCGCGCATTCATTCGCACATTGTTTATTTGTTCAGATGTTCTATTAGTTATAGGTCTAAGTGATTTCAAATATGAATTTTTTACGACTAGAGTGTATCTAAAATGTTTCTGAGAAAATAAGTTGTTTTAGAAGTAAATAGTTTCGTCATGTTTAGTATATAAAGGCATATTTTGGTACAAATCTTGAAGTGGGCCAACTGAAGTGGGAAGGAGCTCGTACTTCCGATACAACTAAAACCGCCACCATTTTGAAAATACCTTAGGCCGAATTCTTCATATCAGTAATACCATAACTCCAAGGTTTCATAATTATCTAACGTCAACTTTTCAAGTAATCGACTACTCCAGTTCTATACCCTTTATACAGGGTGTTCCAGAAATAACACTCTAGGGTGACACGGGAGGTAGATTGCCTTCAATCAGATGAAATCGACATACCTTAGTAAAAGTTTTCTAGTTTCGGAGATATTGCGATTCTCAAGTTTTTTCAAAGAAACCCTACTTTTTCCTCATTTTTTGCCTGTTATGGCTATAAAAAACTTCTAACATATGATTTTTTTTCCTGAGCTACCATTAGTAGTTGGTTGAGACAACACATTCGGTAAAGCACGGTATGCTAAGAAAAAGATATTACAAATTGTTTCAATGTGAAAACCTTTACAAAAGTTTTACTAATAACTGTGAGAAAAAAATGTACCAGACTGAATCGGCAAATTATCTTACAAAGTAGTCGATTTAATGCGCTTTTAAAAATATTATTATTTATTTGTAGTATTTTCCAAGTACTACGACGAAAATTATTCAGTTTTTAGTAAAAAGAACCTACAAATGTTCTGCGATTTTAGAAAGAACGTTCAATAGCTAGTTTTTGAAGTCATTTGCTGATTCAGTCCGGTAAATTTTTGTTCACAGTGATTAGTCAAACTTTAGTAGATAAAAGTTTTTGCATTGAAACCAAATGTAATAATTTTGTTCCTTTTTAGCATACCATGCTATGGTTTCCAGTGAAATGAATATCATATTGTCTCAACCAACTATTAATGGTAGCCAAGGAAAAAACCTTGAGCTGGAAACTTATAGCCATAACAGGCAAAAAGGAGCAACAAGTAGAGATTTTTTTAAAAAAACCTTAAAGGAGCAATATCTCGAAAACTACTGAGGTCATGCTGATTTTATCTGATTGATCCGAAGCCAATCTATCTCCCGTATCGCTCTGAAGTGTTATTTCTGGTACCCTGTATGAGCGTTATGTTTGGAGTGTAGTTCAATGATGTTATTTGATTTCGTAACATTGTATTGTATGTTTAAAAGTATATATCAAGAGCAATTATCATCAGTTATAAAACATTGTTGGCAAGAACTCTTACACCAGAGAGTGCTCCAAAGAAATGGATCTCCCGAGTACGGGCACGATGAATCTTTTTTTTCATGCTAAGCCCAAATAGTGGATGGCTGGTTTTGACTAAAAGTACGTATTTTTGGAATTTTGTTGCTTTGAATATGTGTGAAGTATGGCGTCAATCTTCGCCATTTTTCATTATAGATTCGCAATACGAAGTGTGACCATGAGCTTGTATAAAATTAGCATGTTCGATAGTTGATAAATTTGGATCAAAAAATCTAAAATCCTAATCCTGTAAAGAGTAAAACTTGTTAGCTATTTGACCATATAGAACGGTAAGGGTTTCCAAAATCTTGCCAAATATCTATGACGGATAAAATTTGGAGTACTCTTCTTTGGCATTACGAAAACTTAGTGACTCTAAAAAACTTTGAATTTTTTTATTTTGTCGTGACGGTGCTGTAAATATTATATATAGAAAAAAGTTGCTAAGATAATTTTGCTGATCGATGAATAAGGTGGAATAACATTATTGTCAGAGAAATCTCGTTTCAGGGCAACTTGCATTGCTAAGCCATATTCAAATGTTATTTGTTATGATATTTCGCGTTGAGTCAAATATGTTATCTAAATCATCAAACTTTTGCGTTACCATTGGCCACTAGCTGGGAAGCAGCAATGTCACTATCAGCGGGAAAGGTACGCGACGATACGTCTATAAAGACTACAAAACTTGGAATAGAGGAAAAAACAGTTGCTGCTGCCATCAAATGAACTCGTTACCTTCAGTTTACAAGGCAGATGTTGTACCACTGCAGCAAAATTACTGAGATAAACCAGTTATATTTTGTTTTTGACTCCAACCCGCATATTTCTTTGAGCTTTTACGGATTTTTTTTATTTTCACCTGTCCCACACATACAATATCAGTAAACACAATACTTTCGAAATATGTTATTGAGTATAATATATTCTAAAATTATCACCAGAAATTCACAATGAACAAAGTTTTACGGTTTTTACAAAAATATTATCATATTTTGTACTTGTACAACAAACGTCAAATAAAAATCAACAAGAATAGCGCTTGACCTCAGAAAAATGTTTTGCTCACGGTGAAATATTTTTCCATCAGATAAATACTTTGAAGCAATTTTAATAATATGCAAGTCAAGGTTCAGCTTTTCTTTTACACCTATTGTAATTTTCATTAATTATGGAGCTTGGTAACTGGCCCAAACAACTATGCTATCAATCAGTGTTCCAAAAATCTCTAAGAGAACTGGCATAATCTCATAAACGAACGTGTACATGAAATTATCGTAGAGACAAGCCTATTTATCGAGTGAACTCTTTTCTATATAATAATATTTACGTAAAAAAGCTCCAAGAACCGGTGAAGAGCATCGGACTAGGACGAAAAATATGGTAACGAAAAAGGCGAGAAAAAAGAACACGAACTGGAAATCGGAAAATATAATAAGAGTGGCTACGTGGAACATAAAAAGTCTAAATAACCGAGATCAGGAAATAGAAAAAGAGTTGAGAGTACATCAAATAGATAACTGCGCCCTGCAGGAAACAAAGAGGAAAGGTAGAGGACACAGGCTGCTTGGAGAATATTTACTAATATATAGTGGGGTTCCGCAACAAGAGAGAGCAAATGAAGGTGTAGCAATAATGATCGAAACAAAATATAAAAATCAAATTAAAGATTGCCAGTATATATCTCATAGAATACTTTTAGTAAAGATTAGGGCGAACAGCAAAATTATAAACATCATAGAGATATATGCGCCAGAAGGCTGCAAACCTGACAGTGATAAAGAAGAATTCTATGATAAGCTCCAAACATTAGTGGAAAAAGGAGTAAAGCAAACTGAATTGCTTATAATATTGGGAGATTTCAATGCCATAATAGGAGACGAAGTAATACCTGGAATAAAACAAAGGTTTAACGAAAGAGCCATCAATGCCGACGATGTAAATTGGCCGTAAATAACAAAATAATAGAACAAGTGATGGAAACTGAATACTTGGGAATCAGACTGTCAAGCTATGGAAAAGTGGAAGTAAAACGGCTTTAAGATGGAGGAGTAACATTTTTTAATTTGTCGAAGCAGCCAAACCGCCAGGAAATCAGTATATTCACCATCTGAGGTTTCATTTATTTCCAGTATAAAAGAGATAGATCAGAGAGACAACTGGAAGTAACTCAGAAGTTACATTTGCGTACCTAGTTACGAACATTTATTTCGCATCAGCGATAGCGATTATGAACACCTATTTGCAGAACGACTTATATAAACGATATCATAGGAACTAGGGCCACCAAATTATCTGAATACGTTATTTTTTAGTCTGCATGCTGCCGCGTCGCTTGAGCTGGCAGCACGAGACAGTAAACAAAATTCGTGAAAAATCCAATTTGTAGAGGTAGGCGCCCTTCGAAATTGAACGCTTCATTTTTTAATATCTTTCGAATGAAATTTTTACAGTGTACTGAAAACGAAATCCCACAGGGTACTATTGAGCCACTTTTTGATTTTTTCACTAGGTTCATTTAAACGCGAAGTTCAACAAAAAAAAGTAAGCAACAAAATTTCAAAAGGTGCTCCGACAGCAGCCTTGACAATTGTCTTCTGAACATACTGAATAAATTTCATTCAAACATCTTGAGAAATGGAGTGTCAGTTTCGAAGCATCTGAACCCTTGTAAATGGCTCGAAACTCACTACGTCGAGCCGCCTCAAGTGATCATTTACTGGACTTATATCCTTTAATCCACGTTAAAATGGCCTGGGATTTAAAAAACGTGCAAGAACGAAGCTTCCAGTCACTGAAAGCTACTTACTCTTGTAAAAATCGAAGTGTGAAGCAACATTTTTGCGATTACGTATACCATGCGGTGCTAAACATGTAACAGGCAGACCAGCAAATGGTATGATAGAAAATGAATTAGCAAAACAAAATTCGGACGGAAAATGTAATGAAAGAAAGAATATATATATATATATATATATATATATATATATATATATATATATATTATACATGCACTTACCAGTTAAATGAAAATAAAGCAGCAAAACTTGGTAATCACTAAGCTCTAGACAGAACTAATGTCCACACTCTTCAGGAGTCGAGAAGCTTCTAGGTAGAGTCCTGTAAGAACGGCCCCTTTTAAGCACTGAATCCAATTAGAGCCCGATTATCTAGCAGTTATCGTACTACCGACCTCTTTGCTTATCCAGCTCACGAGTGCGAAAGGGATGCAGATAGGAGCCTACCATGATAACAAAAGCCCCCTCTCCCTTGTAATCGAATGGTTCGGAGAAAAGGTATAACGGGAATTGCAACCCCTCAGTGGCGTACGTTGGTGCATTTTAATAAGACATGGGGATGAGAGTACTTTTATTTTTTTCATCATTCAATGAAGAAGGAGACCCAGATCTTAAACAATACAAAATGTTCACAGACGCTAACGATATGTACTATATATGAAGCAACAAATTTATGAAATTATAATTGCTCGCAACGCCGTCATCAGTTCATAAAGGATTAGGTTGGGTAGTTAAGTTAAACTCTCTAAGAAAAAAATTAGTTACTCACAATAGAGAAATTGAACGGATCAATTTATTCAAACAGGTCCATTCGATTAGTCCATAGACATTATTTCCCTGCCTTATCGGTCGTTACCGTCCATCTGTCAACGTTTCCTCTTCTCATATCGTTAGACGCAGAACCATGGTCAGACGCGGCAGCGCCCACCGAAGCAGTCAGCAGAATGAGACGTGTATCGAAAATATTTCTCTATAATCTACAAATGTATGGGCCCACATATGATGTGTGAAATATGGCTCATTGGTGCGTAGAACTACCGAGATTGGCAGCATATAACGATACTGATATCAGAAAATTGATATATACTGCCCGAAAACTCCCTCCGCTTCCCTAAAAATGATCAGGACCGTCAAAAAAAAACGAGGTTTGCGCGAGTTTTTTTTCCGTTTTTGGCCTTTTCCTCCTTCGCCACTGGACCGGTTTTCAAAAACTACAAAGCTTTTTCGTCCTTACATAAATAGCCGAGCACTACTTTCCAAGTTATAGGGTGGACCAGGTTTACCTTACAGGCCAAAGGACAAAAAAATAGACAGACCAACGGAAATAAGTGACATAGTCTTTTATAAAACATATCCCATTTTTCAAAATTTTTCACGCATAAAATTTTGCAGTTTTGTTATAACTCTAAAAATGTAGTAGCATCTGCCCTTCTTGGTCATTCAGCATATTAGTTCCCAAATTTCAAAACATAGTTTAACGATTGGTGATATAAAGATGGATAGACGAGAGAAATCACTTCATCATTATTTCGAATCAATGGCCTCTTTCATCATAAAAAATAAAATAGGTATTAGGTACTTAATTTAAAAATGTTTTAACTCTCTTATGTTTAAATTGAGATTACTTATTATTCCAATTATTCAGACAATCAAAATGGCTGGCTGTGGACATTTTGGTTCCATTTTGTGTTGACCATTTGACAACAACGATTCTTCAGTAAGTGCTCATACATCTTACCTAAAGTCATAATTGTTTAATAGTACGCTCAGTATCATTATAACGTCGCAACATTTATTGAATTTGCTCACTAACTTGAAAGGCTTTAACCAAGGGCTCAGTTCCTATGAACTGCTCTGACTGACAATGACGAATAGAAACAGCGTTAAAAAAATTTCATTTTCTACTAGTTCGACCCCTTTAAGAAAATCGAGTAAGACCACCTATGCCTGCCACTCTGTGACTTTATGATGAAATCTGCAGTTTTACCTTGCTAAAGGAAAGTAACCCCTGTGATAAGCTGATCAGAAATGAAATCCTTTAAGTGAGGATTCGATGGTCAATTTTTACCTGTACTTGTAATCTCTCATTCTTGCAAAGTAGGTACTTTCCCTGGAAATGGATTACTGGAGAAGAAGTTGCCGAATTTCGAGACTAGAACATGTTAGGAACGATTGAAACAAAAAAATCTGGTATGGCCAACGTATGGATAACACAAGATGGCCAAAAAAGTCTATGATTGGGTACCAACAGAGCATCGCAAACTTGGCAGACCTCCCAAGAAGTTGGAGAGTCCATGACATCCAGAGGACTCTAAGAGGGTCACTGGATGGACCGGAAGATGTGGCGTTTGAGAGGCGGGAAACGATAGTAGTCGCAAAAAACCCGCATATATACATACGACTGTAAGTTAATTTATAGTCATTTTGCTCAATAGTTGCTACTTCTTCTCAATGTTATTGCAGCTCCTGATGAAGTTGGTAAAGTCCATTGAAGGCTAGAGATTAATAAAGTATAAAGAGTCCTCTCTGCTTGAATTTTGTCGAAGTACCCAACAAAAGGCGGAAGCTTTATTTTTTCACTTAACTGGTCTAAACTACAATGACCAAGTCTCAAGTTATATATATATATACTCGTATATATATATTATATAACAAAGAATAGGAAAATAATGGACAAAAACCGCAAAAAGAAGGAAAGCGGATTCGAGCAGAAAATAGGATAGTTCCCAAATTTCAAAACATAGTTCAACCATTGTTGATATACAGATGGATGGACGACAGAAATTACCTTATAATTATTTCAAATCGACGACCCCTTTTATCATAAAAAATAGAATAATTGGTTAACAAATGTTTTGATTTACTCATGGTTAATTTGACATTATTTATTATTTCAGTTCTTCAGCCAATCAAAGTGGCTGACTGTGGATATTTTGATTCCATTTTGTGCTGTCCGTTTGACAGTAAGTGATCATACATTTTACCTAAAGTCACTCTTGTTTAATGGTTCGTTAAGCATCATTATCATATCGCAAGAGTTACTGAATTTATCCGCTAATTAAATACTTCAACCAAGGGCTCATTTCATACGGACTACTCTGACTGACAGTGACGAACAGAAACAGCGTGAAAAAAAATCATTTGTAATAGTTGCACCCCTTCAAGAAAATCGAGCTACGCCACGTATGCCTGCCACTCTGTAACTTTATGATAAAAGCTGCAGTATTACCTTGCTAAGGGTAAATAATCCGTGTGGTAAGCTGTGCAGGGATGAAATCCTTTAAGTGAGGATTCGATGGTCAATTTTTACCTGTAGTTGTAACCTCTCATTATTGCAAAGTAGGTGTATATATATATATATATATATATATATATATATATATATATATTGGTGAAAAATTAATGCTTCCGCCTTTTGTTGGGTACTTCGACAAAATTTAAGCAAAGAGGACTCTTTATACTTTTTTTAATTCTCTCTAGTTTTCAATGGACTCTGCCATCATCATCAGGAGCTGCAATTACAATGATAACAGTAGCAACAAAAGTGTAAAATGAATTTAAATTGACTCAACTTACAGTAGTATGTGAGGATGTTGCTAATTGTTGTTTACGTATAGGATGAGGGAAACGTGAAATTTGTTGGTGGAATCGGCCAAAACACAGATTATATTTATGGTTGTGAAAAGTCGAAAATTGGGTAGATATGTAAGTTCTCCAATTTTTCGCAGTTTAGCAAATATGAGTAAATGACACTCAGTTGTTTAACATCTGTCTTTTTGTTGATACAGTTGTTATTCATAAAAATGTGGGACATTTCTAGGAATAAACGTGTGGAAAGGTGTTTTTCTTTATCAAGAACTTTGATACTTGTGTAATTCATAGAATGCCCTGTTGTGTTAACATGAGATGCTAGAGCGCATCTTTCAGGATGAAGCCTAGCATCACTTTTGTGTGATGTAATCCTTCCCTTAAGAGATCTGGAGGTCTGACCTCTGTATATTTGGTTGCAGTTGTTGCAATTGGTGGAGTAGACTGTGTTGGTTAAGCCAAGCAGCGGGACTTTGTCCTTCATTTTTGAAAAAATGCAGTTTATAGTGAGGACGGATTTGCAAGCAATTCGGAAGTTCAAAGGACTGCACAATCTGATCAGCTTAGGGGTCAGTTCCTTGATATAGGGCAGGACAGCAAAACCAGGTCTGGAGTCCGGGTTGGTGCTTGTACTGTTTGGATTGATGCTATTATTGGGAATTACATCAGTTCCGTTATTATTAGGGGTTGTGCGACTATTACCTGCATCACCAGAGTTCGGCAAAATATTGGAAGGTGAACTAAATAAGATCTTGTTAATCAGACACTTCGGATAACCATTATTGATGAACAGTTTTGATAGTTTACGTAAATTTGAGGTGTGGAAAGTATTATCTGAGATGCTGATTACCCTTGTTTTCATCTGTTTCACCAAATTGATTTTAATCCCTAGCTTATGGTATGACCTAAAATTGAGAAACCGACCTGAGGCCATAGGTTTCTGGTACCAGTCTACCAATAAATTGTTGTTAGTCATATTTGCTAAACTGCGAAAAATTGGAGAACTTACATATCTCCCCAAATTTCGACTTTTCACAACCATAAATATAATCTGTGTTTTGGCCGATTCCACCAACAAATTTCATTCCACTCAAAATCTAATAATTCTCTTCTCACGATTTACTAATAATTGTTAATTTAAAATTCCCATTATTTAAAATATAGTTTATTCAACAACAATTTCTTACATAACATTCTGAAAATCACATCATCTGAAGTGATTTGGCAACGTTTGGCACACGCCCACAATTCGTTCCATCTTTCAACACAGACATTGACAACCTTCGGCCTTCTGTCAAAGGTTCATCTCACTCATTATTCCATGACCACCATTTTGTGCAATCATCAAGTGGCTTCACGACGTAATGCTCAAATGTTTTTTAAATAATTTTTAATCTGTTTTTAACTTGTCTTGTCATATTTTATATAATTTTGACCATTGTACCATGTATCCAGCTCTCACCATGTTACTGGACGTTTCCCTCATCCTATACGTAAACAACAATTAGCAACATCCTCACATACTACTGTAAGTTGAGTCAATTTAAATTAATTTTACACTTTTGTTGCTACTGTTATCATTGTAATTGCAGCTCCTGATGATGATGGCAAAGTCCATTGAAAGCTAGAGAGAATTAAAAAAGGTATAAAGAGTCCTCTTTGCTTAAATTTTGTCGAAGTACCCAACAAAAGGCGGAAGCTTTAATTTTTCACCTAACTGGTCTAGACGACAATGACCACGTCTCAAGTTATATATATATATATATATATATATATATATATAACAAAAAAATAGGAAAATAATGGGCAAAATCCGCAAAGAGGAAAGTGGATTCGAGCAGAAAATAGGATAGGTAACCCGAGCGTTACGTATTTCTGCTGGTTGGCTTCATCAGG